TGGAAACATTTTTTTTTCTCAGTTGCACAGCCTGTTTAAACAAATTAAAAAATGTAATATTGCATTCAGAAGCTGAAGTATTCCTGGGATCAAGTGTAATCATATTTATTATATATTGACTTCAAATGAATATAATTTTATAAAGGACAAACAAGACAACATGAGTTTGTAACATGATATTGTAAGAAGTCCTATATCAAAAAATCTGTAGACCTTTTCCCCAATCAACTCATAATACTTTATAATGGATTATAAAATTATTGACTTGTGTGTAAAAACTAGGTAATGAGGTGGCAATGAACATTTCAAATATTTGGCATCACACAGATGTAGGATGAAAATCTCAACAGTTATGAACAGGTTCATAATTAATTTAAAGGGTTTGAATTACTTTGCACCAAAAAAAACTTTGCAGTCCTCAATTAGGTGACTAGGATCTTTAAGTATCTAATTACTCACAATTAACTTTTTTTTTGTAATGAAATTATTTTAATATGAATACTAATGAAAAGTGTTTTTGCATTTCTTCATTGTTTTAATCTGTACTTGTAACTAATAATGGACAGATGTGTTTCTTGAAAATGTCTCTGTTTATAATTATGTAAAGTCAAATGTGGATAGGATTTTTTTTTTTATTTTTTTTTTTAAAAATATAAACTGGCATGAAATAATGGCTTTTGGCCAAATAAATTTATTTTTGAAAAAAATTTGTTTGTGTAATTTTCAACAAGACACTTACATAATTAGGAGGGGTAAAAAAAAACAACACAACAACCGTAGGTTTGTTATATTTTTTTTAAAGATCGTCTGAACAATTAAATATGCAAAATAAAAAAATAATGAACATTTAACAAATAAAATGTTAGATATCACTTGGTGGTGGAAATTTAAAAAAAAAAAAAAAACAGTGGGGGCGAAAAAGTAAATGTGAAGACTAGAATGTTAAAAAAATGTGCATGTAAATAATACTGAGTACTCAACTAAAAATCTAATTATTATGCAAGACATTCAAATCTAAGCATACCAAATTACAAAATAATATCAAATCAGGTCTCAATCATGTGACTAAACAAAAGAAAGATTACCCATAAAGATTTCATAACCTTGACTTAGCCTAAAAAGTTTGCAATAAATATTGCAATACAGTTCCCTTCAAGTTGTGAAGAGATCCTTACAGTTTGGGGAATCATTTTCAGGACAACTCAGCAAATCTAAATAATGTTTTTTTTTTATGTGTAATTAAAAAAAAAATATTCATATATAATTTATATTTTAAATTATATATATATTTATCACTTGAATTGAATGCAGAACTTGTTAAGTAAAATAAAACATACTGCAGTGTTTTTATCACTACATAATTTGTTTCTCACAGAACATCATGAGGTAAATTTAATTTTAAGTGACCCGGAAATTGTAATTTACATTGTGTATAGGAGTATTTAAATATTTAAGCAAAAAAAAAAAAAAGAAAAAAGCCACCTTCCTTTTTTAAAAACGATTTTTATAGTTTCCACACTACCTTGTACATTAAATTTTTGGGGGGTCTATTTTTTAATTAAGTCTTCTTGGAGAGACTTGCACATAATAAAAATGAAGGTTCAACATTTTACTTAACACCTACAACAACTTTCAAGTTCAGGACCGTGTCCTCATCCAGTAAAGTTAAGTCTTGGACAAATTGAGACAGTGTTAATTTTCGTTATTAAATAAACTCAACAGACCGATTTTACACTTAAATTGTGTACAATCAAAATTATATTTCTAGTAGCATTTAGGAGACACTTGAATATAAGTGGACATTGAATATTCAAGTGACAAAGATGAAAAAAAATCAACAATACAAATGAAGACACGCTTGAGATGAACTATTCACTCCTCTGATTAATATGCCTTAAGTTAAAAACAATATAAAAATAATTTCAGATACAATAAGCAGAGAGAGTAGTGGTAAATCTTGACAGAAACTATGTAATCTTTTATAATATAAGCTGAGAGACTAGTGGAAACTACTTAATCTGTAAATATAAGCTGGGAGAGTGATGTTAAACCCAACAGCCATAAACAACTCAATGATACTACATTCAAGCCTCAAAGCATTTAAAGACTATAACAAGTCATTCTAATAAACAGTTAGCACCTCTTAATACAATTATGTTTTTGTTTTTTTTTAAACTCCTTTAAATGAAAGAATGAGCCCATCTAATATATAATGATAGTGATATATATATATATATAATATATAATATATATGCGTTTATATGTGCATATTAAGGAGACAGATTATGTGGTTGAGAGCTAGGTAGTGATTGGGGAAAGAGATACATTTTTTTTTTTAAATTTAAAAATTAATGAAATCTCCTGAGAAACATCTACAAAACTTCAAATTAATCTACTGGTCGTTGCGATCAAGCCTTTGGGTAACACCTCGAGGAAACTATACGTTTTGTCTGACATTAAATGCAAAATATAGTGCTCTTAAATTGAAAACTTGGTATATTTTTTATATTGTTTTTCAAAGTCATCAATTAATTTAATCCCTGGACCCCCCCCCCCCAACCAGTTTTTTTGGCTATATTATATTGTTCATAGTCAAATAAGAAATGGCATATCTGCCATAGAGAAGAAAAAAAATTTACATCCACAAACTTGCCCAACTCACCAATAAAAACTTCCGGAGAGCATTAATACAATCAGAGGCTTCAAGGTAACAAGCCTTTCAGACTACAGAGTATTCTCTATTGTTACAAATGATAAATATTGCACATTTGGCTAGGGATGCCTGGGTTAGTTCAAGTTTCAGGAATGTTAAGTTGGATTTACCTGTGGTAATAAATTCATACATTAGACATTTGGTACAAAACAGTTATGACACGGTTGTCATGACTCAATCAACAACCACTGGCTAAGAGAACCAAGAGAAATCTGTTTCATTAGAACTAACAGAAACCTCTTTCTTCAAAGCTACCGGTGACAGAAATCTGTTCCGTTAGAAGAAGCAGAAGCCTGTTTCATTAGTCTATAACAGTAACTGGCCAATTTTAAAAGTTAAAGAAAGGAAGTACGGTATTTAAGAAATGTATATATTTTACAATCTTTACAATTTCATAAGTTTATAAATAACTTTCCCTATCAAGTACCTTGAACATTGATAACGTGAACAAAATGACATGTTAGAAAAACATCAAAATATTACATCAAGAGCAAACAAGTGATGTCTTAAAGCAGTTGTCACAACTGTAGCAAAACAAACATTACCTGTTTTACATGAAACAAATAAAACAATAATTTAGAGAAAGTCCCTTGTAAGTTTAGGTCCTGTCCTTCCTCTTACTGGCTTCAACTGGTTGTAAGGTCAAAATTTAATTATGCCGATTGTTAGAGAGTATACTCAGCTATTTACATATCAAAGGGGTTCAACTGGCCTTTCCACTCCACTCACGCAATAAAACAAATGGAATTCCTGTGCAATGTAATTTGCTTGTATCAGCAATTCAAAAATGTGAACAACAAAACATTAAATAAAAACACACGAATGGCAAAGTGATCCTCAACGTAAGATATTTTGATTAGAATGTTAATGTTCATCATTATCACGTCATTACTTGAAACGTTTACAAAACTACTGGATAACTTTTAGAAATACTGCCTCAGCAAAAAGTTAATTGAACAGCTTGATTAGTTTTGCAAAGCAACCAAACGTTAGTCAACCGATCCTTGATACACATTTACAGCAATAAACATAATAATGACATTAGAATGTAATAATTTCAAATTTTTGTTGATGACAAACACTATTTTTAGAACATCAGTAGACATTTAATTAATGAGACACAGAATTATTAATCTCCCTCTCTACTTTGGGCAACACCTGATTTTCACTTCTACCTACATCGTACAACACCTGATTTTTAACTTTTTACCTGCATCGGACAAGACCTGATATCCTTGTCAACTTGGCTGGAGCTCGATTATTCAATGTTCTTTCAAAATGTCTCTAACTGAGACCTTCCTCTTCCCCTTGAATAACATTCCATGAATGGCAGTTTTAGGCATGTGCTGCTGTGGCAAACAAAGGATGCGCCCTACAAAACACATTCAGTGAACAGCTAGTCATTTCCAGACTTGTTGTTCCGCTCTTTCCTACGACTTCTTCATTACATAAATGATCCTGGTAGCTGACATCACTCCTTATGTTCACATTTAATAAACGGGGTGTATTTGACATATTCCATATTTTGCTGGCTTAAATTTATGCTGTGATTTGTACTGCTGATAATGGCCATCATCATCATCATTCGATGCTGACTGGCCGAATGCTCTAAACTGAGTCGGTCCCAAGCTTGTGGTCTGGAGTTCAATCCCCAGAAAAAGCCTAGACAAGCAAAAACACCACCCCCCCCCCCCCCCTGGGGGGATGGGACTTATTAACTTTGGATGGCAACTCATCTAAGAGAAGGAAAATTCTGAATTCAACCCTGGAAATGGAGTCCCGTCGGCGGTATGACATATTGAGACAATGAAAATTCCAGCACTCCTGTGATGCTACTGGTGCCAAGCTGTATCTTTCTCACATGATGTTCCCTTGGGTTCACCAGTTGCGTGGAGAGAGGTGATTTGCTGTCCAGGGAACCAGCTAATCCTCCTCAAGAAAAAAAAAAAATCATCCTTGCAAGTCTACATCATCATCACATTGTGACGGACGGATGCCAGAAAAAATTGGTCATCCTCACATGGAGCATTTTAGGTTGCTGTTTTTATATTTATACTCTAATCACATTGTAAATAACCATAAATATCAATGCTGGTTTAAGACTAAGGGGGTGGGGGGAGGTTGTTTTGCACCAAATTAGAAAAGAACATGAAATCTGCTTAACGCTATTCTTTTATTGAGTGTCTACATCAACGATCACTGCAGGTTTATGGAATGAGATACTGCATATCTTTACATTAAATCAATTCAAATTTTAATACCATGCCAAATTTAAAGCAAACAAACGACTAGTATCACACATTATATATTTGGATTGTGTTGCAATGCAAAGACTACATTCAGGTGAGGAGCCATACAACAGAACTAACTTAGTAGTAATTCAAACAAGCACACACAAAAAAACAAGCATCAGCTTGGTACAATAAGAGCTGTTGCACATACTTAACAAGGAAAAAACCATTGTATTTGAATAATGGGGAGCATGATGATTACAATATAAATAATTCAATATCAAATGGTGCATTGTGGGAATAAGGTGGGAGTATAATTAAATGAGTCGAACATATCATCTTTATCAAGCCTAAACATTTGTTGCTTCCTTTGCCTCTTGTTTCCTTCCTTTTGTATTGTTGCTCTGTCTCACAACTACGGGATGAAATCAAGATGTCTCTTCACAGGTGCTCCGTGATTATTGGTAAATGGGACTTTGTTTCCACCTAGCCGGTCTTGTCCAGGTTAGATAAAGGTTTAGTAATACTTGAACTCCTATAGATGCCTTCGCTTTGACCACTTGACCTTCTGCCCTCACCGTGCCCACTACTGCCAACAACTGACTCTGTGTCACTGCCGCTGGATCGTAAGTCATATCTCTGACCAGAAGCCCACCTGCTTGAAATCTGATTGCCCGTGCTTGGTGTGGGTGAACAACGGTAGTCAATGTTGTACTGGGGATATAAGTCACGCAAGTCAAGAATAAGACTTTTAGCAAATAGAAGTGGACTAAGTATGGCAGGTTAAGAATATGACTTTTAGCAAATAGAAGTGGATTTAGTATGGCAGGTTAAGAATAAGACTTTTAGCAAATAGAAGTGGATTTAGTATGGCAGGTTAAGAATAAGACTTTTAGCAAATACAAGTGGATTTAGTATGGCAGGTTAAGAATAAGACTTTTAGCAAATACAAGTGGATTTAGTATGGCAGGTTAAGAATAAGACTTTTAGCAAATACAAGTGGATTTAGTATGGCAGGTTAAGAATATAAGACTTTTAGCAAATAGAAGTGGATTTAGTATGGCAGGTTAAGAATATAAGACTTTTAGCAAATAGAAGTGGATGGCTGTTTCAGAACAATTTATGAAAATAGCCCAAACTTAATTACATAAAAACATAAACCCAAACTCAATTATGTAGAAATACGGTCATAACAATTCTTAAATCCAAGATACATTCATAGTCCATACAAAACAAAAAACAAAACTAATTTTGATGCACAAATAGAGACAGAATTTTTTTATTTTTGTTTAAACTTAATTTTATAGCAAATACAATTTAAGAACTTACTTTTGTAGCACATACAAAACATGTTGTCACAACCTTCGCTACAATATTCATCAAATTTTTGGTTTCCTGGATAGCACTGTCCACCTGAAGAAAATGTTAATCCTCAGTTACATACAGCTAAAATGTATATTTATTATTATGAATATTTACAAGACTTCAGAGGACCTTTTATTTCATGCGATAATACATGAGTGAGATACAAACCTTGTTAAATGTGGCGGTCTTGCCAAATGTTGATGACTTGAGGGTTGTTAGCAGTTGGTGACAACACAATGGAATTCTTTCCAAATACATTAAGAGCTCTTCTTTTTGAGGACAACTAGGTACCTAAAAAAAAATATTTTTTTTAAATTTGTTTAATATTGGTATTTGAGAAATCGTGGGAATATCACATAGAAAAAACTACACAAGATAAATCTTTTCTGTACATTGCTTAAGTACTTCTATTATTATACTTAAAATAAAAGTTAGATATAATATAATTAACACTTTACATAAATGTTAGATAAAATCTGTTCATATTTTCAAATATTTTAATATCTTACACTAGAATATAAAACCCTGTGTTACTCTGGTAATAATGGAAGGTATATATCTCAGCATATATGAAACTGAGTAAGTAGGTATGTAACTGATTCAGGTTTAGATGTATCCTCAAAAAAAAAAAAATTCTTTTCCACGCCCATGAAATGTATATTTTGAAAATAGTCAGGTTTTATTATTATAAAAAGAAGTATGTATGTATGGATATTTACATTTCTAGCATCAATGGGTTTTAAGACATTTTTATATTCTATATAAAAGAGGCCGACTCATCCCCTTTTCATGCCCATAAACTACAAAGCCCAGATTTTCAGAAAACTTTTAAAAACATAAATGTCCTTCAAATTTTTTTTAAAAATGTATTCACCAATTTCAATATCTGTAACATTAAAATATTTGATTTATTGGTATTTTCATACAAAATTCTGGCAACCTTTTGTACTCGCTCCTGATCTATATGTTTAGAAAAATCGTAAAACACAGAATTCTTATATCTGAAGAAGATTCTCTGAATGTCATGTTATTAAAGAATATGGTTATTTATTTTAAATTTAAATGTATACCAAAGTTGAAAAATTAAAAATTTAATTAAAATCTATATCAGGTTCAATCAAATCTGTAGCATATTTGGGTTTGGAGATATTGATATTAAATTGTATCCCCTTCCCATTTTTGTCACCACCAAACATTCTGCACCACCAGTGAATTATGTTAATATTATTAAGTTCCATCCCCGTTTTGTCATGCATTGGACAGCATTTTAAAAAAAAAATTGTTATATATTTTCATACATTAAAAAATAAGGTTATTTAATTGTAATTTAAAATCCATACAAAAGTTCAAATCTGTAACACAATCTGGTTTGACTATGATTCTTCATTGCACTTAATATATTTTCTTATTTAAAATATTTTTAAAATTAGAAGTATTTTTCATTAATAATATATTATAAATTTCATGAATGCAAATTTTTTTTAATGAAAAATAAGTCAAACCTAATCAATTGTTAAAGATCCAATGCTTCAATTTGGTGTGTTGTGTTAAAACAATTTAAAAAGCAATCAATTATATTTATTTAAAAAAAGAATGGTAAAATCTTAGCAGCTTTGTCATTTTCGGGATTTTGCAAATGATACTGAAGACTAAAGCACTATAATTTATAAATATAACAAAAAAAATTGATACTGAAGACTAAAGCACTATAATTTATATATATAACAAAAAAAATATAAGTCTAAAGAATGTCAAATCTCCATTAATACAATACCCTAACTTTTACATTCAAATAAAATACTGAAAATAATTCTTTAATGAATACATTAAATTTCCTTCTAATTAATAATAATAATACTTACATAATAAAGATGACATATAATTTTATTGAACAATATTTATATGGTCAAATTTAAATTAATTTCTGTTCAAATAAAACTGATAAAAAGATCATTGTTTTTAAGAAATCCATTTATTGCAGGAGTTTTAGTTTGCACAGCTAAACAAAACACACATTTACACTCTTTGGTGCAATTATAGAGACTTTTTGTATCCTGTGCTATTGAACTCAGCATTAGCTTATTTATAGCTATATGTTTCATCTTCAGTAAGAAATAATTTGCCTTAATTTTTAAATTTTTTTTTTAAAGTTAAAAGAATGCCAATAATCAAAAGGAAAATCAAAATAAAAATATGTTAGCAAAAACTCTGAAATGTTCATGTGAATTACAATTCAGTCATTGAGAATTTTAAATGTTGACTGAATTAAAAAGTAAATATTTCAAAAATTTCCTAATATTTTTGACCTACTTACTCTTTGAGCAAAATTCTGAATGGTTGAGTAGAGTTTGTTTCCCTCCTGTGCAAAAAACTGAGCTTGAACAAAGAGGTCATGGGTCGTCCTAAGTGGCCCTTCTCCTCTGGTAAACAGATACATGCTAAATGCCATGCTGGACATATTTTTGGCCCGCTTGACAACAGCATTGTCTGGCTCCTCCCATTTGTCTGCCTCAGCCTCGGTCTCCGATGTGATGAGTTTCATCTCCAATCCCAACTTGGCTATTTTGGCTTGTTCCTGATAAAGTAGAGTAACACATTTTAAGCATACACAAACTGACTTCCTAACTGATATCTTCTAACACCAAGCATGCTTTCTGCATCCCTTCTGTGTGTTCGTCTTTTTATTTATTTTTTTAAAAATAAACTACTTTTTATTAAAGTGTAATTTAAAAAGGATTTTTGTTTTAAATGGTAAAATACAGTTTTTTAAAGAACCCTTTTAATTCTCCTTTTTATTTATACATCACAATGAGGATGAATATTCAAGGGTGACTGCTGTGAACAGTCTTCTTTGTCACATGAGAACTGACCGCTAATGGTGAATAAGATCTAATAATAAAATGCTGCTAAGATTACAGTATTCTACAAATTTCATCTCTCTAGGATTTCGGGAGGTTACTAAAACTGGCCTTAGAAGAACAAGTCATGTAAAGTAGAATTGAAAATTTGGTAATTTTAAGAATTATATTCTTCTGCTAATACTTAAATATATTCATTATGGTTGCTTCAAAAAGAGCCCCACTCAGAATGCATCATTCTCAATTCAAACAATTTCAGACAGTTTAAAATACACTGATCAGCTCCAAACTAAATTTGCTGAGAAAGGTCTAATAATGTCAGATGTAGGACAAAATGTTTTAGAGAAAACTTAAGGAGTTTAGATAAATAATTATTGAACAAATAAAAGAAAGAGGGCATTACCTCTGCATCAAGTTTGGCAGGTCTAAGCTGACGGGAGTTAGTTCCATGTTTCTGTCAGAGCAAAAAATATTAGTTTTACCTCTAATCCACAGAATAAAATAATAAAAAATTTTGTTATTTTAAGTTTTTAAAAAATAAATATATAAATTTGCATAAATTCAGATACTATATGTAACCTTTCATAATTTTATTGAGCCCTATATTTTTCTATATTTATACATCCAGTCATAACCAGCCATGGCAATGCAAAAATTTGTGTTTTAAATGTGGTAAATTATAGATATGTTTTTTGTTGACTTTGTACCGCGCTTCGAGCCTTTGGGGATGAAGCGTGTTTTTGAAATGAACTTTATTATTATTATTATTATATATTACAAAAATACTACCTACAGTCTTCATTAAATGAATAAAATTTAAAAGAATGACATAAATTAATGTTTAACATGGATGTGTAATCTTCTATCTAAGGAGATAACATTTTTAAAATTTATTTGCAAAAGCATTTTTGTAAATAGGTTTGCTTCTCTTTTACAGTCACAAGTTTAAAACTCTTTTTGTTTAATTTTCTAGTGCATGTAACTGGGGACCAGATAAGCATTGGACAGCAATTTCCATATCTATCTTAGGGTACATAACAAGAAACAATTTTCGTCTGTCGTGATGATCACCACAGCATCAGGTTAGTGGTTCACAAATTTTGTCTCAATTTGAATATATAAGAGAGCTTAAATTTAATTAGACTTACTGTAAAATTTAGAAGAAAAGGAGGCTTATTCATTTGATAAGATCATGTTTTAATAGCTTAGCTTGTAATGGGCTGTAAAAAAAAACTGGCAAATTTGGACAAAACCCAGCTAAAATACACAAAAATAAAATGCATAATTTTTTTCAAAGTTTGAGTTTGCTATTTTTCAATTATAGCAGTACATGTGACATTAACATGCTACACACCCAACATACACTTATCAATTAATGTTTAAAGTTGGAAACAAGCAGAAATATTAAATGATGGCGAAAACACATTCAATATTTATATTAAAGAGTTTTGAGAATACTAATTTAGGGAGTGCATTAACTGTTCGGTAGCTGTTTTGGCCATAAGGCAGTTAATCAGACATTTATTTTAATTATCAGTTGGATATCTTTTAGCATTTTTTTCTATTTCTTTAGCTCCAATCATTTAAATAATAATAATAATGTGTCCAAAATTATAATAAAACATAATGCTATTCTTACCTAGCCATAAATTTAAAATTCTTGATTGTATTACATCTTAGTTAGTTACATTATATTGAAATATCCTAACAATCATTTATTTTCTATAACTTTCAGCCACATCAAAGTTACGAGACCTTTCCATAGATTTATGTGTTTTCCTGACCTATTTTGACATAACTGGTCCAGATGCATTTAAAAATATCTTATTGTTATTGGTCTCAAATATATTTTGTATGCCTTTGACTTCATTGTGGAGCTAAACTGCTGTAAACTAATGTCACACCTTCAGCGCAACTCAACATGACAGGATATAAATTGCATTAATTATATAATACCAAAAATTAAAAGCCAAGAAATAAAGATTATTCAGAAATTATTATAACAATAATCATTACTTTAAATGATAAGACTAAATCATATGGGAAAGCCAATTATCTAATACCAATGATCTCAAATGAAATATGTCCTGCTAAAAAAAGAATTTAAATTTATTGAAAATGAATCATTTTCTTGTGTAAAAGCTATTAACCAAAGTGCTTAACAAGAAATAATGAACAATATATCTTTACAGTTATAGTTTACTAACTCAAACTATAGGCAAGTCAAGAGAATATGGAGAAAAGGAAAAAGAACTATAAAAAAATCATTAAAATAATATATTTATGTGTTTTTGAAGGTAAAACTAAAATTCAAATTCAAATTTTTTACCATAATATTCTTTACTGCTTCTGGCAGTGGTTAAATTTTTTGGTCATAATTTTACATTTCTTTAATTCAATGCCTCTTTTCTATCTAGTGATAGATTCTTTTTATTTTTACCACAAAAATAAGTTAACAATGAATAGCAACCACTAATATAAAACAATGTGCATAAGAAACATTGAGAAATGTGTAGCTCTAGAACAACAATGTGAAACAAATGGGACACTGAACTCTGAACTTAAATTGTATCATCTACTCACTGGAGGGGTCTGAACCTAGGTGAGAAAACAAGTTGCCTTGGTCAGTTTTGGAGAAGCACTGTGTTCTCTTCAAAGCTACTACATAGGCTATAAAAGTTTTCAGAAAACATCTAACGATATGGCTTCCGCCTATCCTCTTCTGTCAAATGTATGGTACTACATAAGCTTTAAAGGTTTTCAGAAATAAGTGTAAGCAGATAGGTTCCGGCTATCCTCTTCGAGTATTCTGTCAAATGGATATGCTATGTAGAAATTAGATTTTATAACTGCCTTAAAGCCTCATTAACTGTTGACTTACATAACATTTGCCCAACATGCATTGTGTAAGTGTACCTTGCGAAAATGAGAATTAAATCAACAGGGCTGATGTAAGTCTATATCTTTTTACTAAAACTAACAGAAGATATGTAATTTTATTGGCTGTGTGAGAAATCCAATCTATTTATATAGCATATTTTTACTAATTCTATCCAATGAACAACAGAGAAAGCTAAAAATATTCACAGCACATGACACAGTGCTGCCCACTGATGGAGGGTGAAATATCAACACAATATCTTTTTTCAGCTCATCAGCTCTAAGCGGAGCTCAGTTCATTTTTATTCAGATGAATATTTCTTCATGGCAAATGAATGTTTCCTTGAAATCACTTCTGAATTAGGCTTTTAATAAATTTATTTGTTGTTTCTCATTAATAAAACGGCAGTAAATTAAGTCCTCAGGGTCAGGGAAATATTGGATAATTTGTAAAGAGTAGTTAATTACTCTACTGTTAATGACATGACTGACTAACCGGCTTAGATTGGGAGGATAAACTACGGCTTAGATTGGGAGGATAAACTATCTCACTACCACATCTAACTATTGATAAAATATCTAACTACTCCATCTAGCTATTGATAAACTATCTCACTACCACATCTAGCTACTGATCACACAAGTGGTTTAACATCATCGTCTTAATAACATAGACGGTTAGTTTCTCTTACCATAACACACTGTGAGCACAACTTATACCACTTATTATTCAAAACAATGCCCAATTATTATTTATACCATATATAAGCTCAAGTTCCCTAAATATTCCTACAAATTTGTAAGCTTGGTTATTTAATGACGCAGTCCAACTGAATTAAGACAAACCTTAAAAAAATATGGGGCACCACTGAAAAATATTTGTTTCAAAATGCTCTGCACCGATACTGTCTGCATTTTCACACAAAAAAAAATAAATCATCATTTATCTGCTTAAGAAGGATTATACCAGAAACATTCATTGCTTTGTCTCCTGTCTGGCTCACCATACTTCTCTACACTTGTAGTGCATCATTATTCCAGAATAAATTATACCAATGTTACATCACTAAATTTATTTTACAACTTAAGCGTAGCTGCCTTTGGTCTGGTCCCCATTATATAAAAAAAGAACTATATTTATTTTTAAGGGTCTGGCTGCACTAAGAAAGGAATGAGAGCAGCCTGTAACAATTTTTGGAACTTTAAAAATATTTTTCCTTATTCCTTAAAGGACACCTGAGCACTCAAAGATCACTCCCAGAAAAAAAATGCCCATGAAGTCACACCGGTACACAAATACTGCTACTCACCCCTGGCCGTGGGAGAGAAAGATAGACCAGTTTATCTCCTCTGCCCTGACAAACGTCATTGACTTCTTTCACAAGTATCGACAGGTCATTGATCTGCCCTTCCCAGGCATCACTGAACACTTCTAGGTTTTCTCTGGCTATTTTGGAGTCTGGATGCTGAGCCAGAGTGTGAGCAGCATAAAGGATCTACATTGAAATAACACAACAGAGCCAATACAATCACCAGCAGTTAAGGAAGATGAATTATTTCTATGGTATTTAAAGATCTTAATGATTCGACACATATTTTAACTCTTCATGTTAAATAAAATATAAAAAGGATGAAAAATAATTATTATTTTAATCAGTTGAAATATTTTGTTTATACTTGGCACCAATCTCCACGTCTGTAAAAATAATCTCTAACCAGTTTTATTATAACTTTTATGTATTCCAGAAAATCTGAGCTAAATTTTATCATGCTACAAAGACTGAATAATCAATGGAGAAATTTTATGAAAATCACACAACAACTCAAGATTTCACAATTGCTTATTCCCTAATGTTAGCTGTCAAGATCTCAAAGTTGCTCCGTCTGTGAGAACCAACTAATCTGAGTAGAATTTCATCAAGATGACTGAATGATCCAAGGAAAAAGTTATTACAATCACCAATGACTAACAGATCTTAACAAAGAGCTATGACTGAAACAATCACACAATGAACCATTGATCTTAACAAAGAGCTATGACTGAAAAAATCACTCATTGTCTCACTAATTTTAACATAGAGCTATGACTGAAACAAACTCTCAGTCTCACTGATCTTAACAAAGAGCTATCACTGAAAAAATCACTCAATGACTTACAGATCTAACAAACAGCTGTGACTGAAACAATCACTCAATGACTTACAGATCTAACAAAGAGCTATGACTGAAACAATCACTCAACAAATCCCTGATCTTAACATAGAGCAATGACTGAAAAAATCACGCAATGACTCACTAATCTTAACATAGAGCTATTAAGATGACATGATGACTCACTAAGCTGTAGAAATAATAGATTTAAAATTCTATACTAAAAAAAAAAAATAATGGCATAAAAGAATATGAAGTAGAAAGTGAAACATACCAGTGGCCCCAAGCAATGTAGAAATGATTCATTATGTTCAGCCGTAATGATCAGAGGCTCCGTGGTCGCCATATGTCGAAATAGTTTACAAACCTGTCAGTAATGATTAAAGCATTATCAAATTTTTTTTTTTTTAAAATTGAAAAAAAAAAAAATTGTTTTGTTTAACACATGCCCACAATTAGCACGAAGCTCTTAATTTTTATCCTTCCATAAATGAAGTCAGGAATCGTGAGGTTTGTTTTGTCCCAAATGTGTATTAAGAAATCTGTTATCATGGTGTCTAAATTGTGTGACAAATTGGAGGGGGGGGGGGTCGTCCCGGTACCCAAAATCAGCCAATATAGTGACCACATTTAAGAGCGTCCCCTAAAAAACTTTCAACATTTGAATCTTTAACCCATGTAATTCTTCTAATCAATGACCACCTCAAAAATGTTTTCTCTAACAAAAAGCACAAACTTTAAGTTCTTGGCAACGTTGAATTAAAATAAAATAATATAAGATGGGGTGGTTCCATTTTTTTTTTTTTTTAAATTCATCAATTCCTCAATCTGATATGTATAAAAACTATTATTGTAATAAAATGATCAGGTGTAAGCGTTTTAACAAGATATAATAAGTGCAAGATATAAACTGGTACATTACCTTTGTGATTAAAAAAAACAACACACTACAATGAAAGGAAATGAGATGGATTTTTTAACTAGATTGCCTAACTATTTTACTACTTTTGCTAGGCTATTATATTTTTGTATTTCTTAATTTTAGAACCTCAATATAATATTGAAGTATTAGACATAAATCTCCTCTAGTTACCTCATCACAAAAACTTTCCTCATTTTTATAGCTAAATTTATTTACACTCTTTTATGTGATGAAATGATAAATTTAAATATAAAAATAACTTCATACATTCAACTGTGCCATTAGGGATTCTTTAAAGTTTCAAAATACATTACAAATAATGAACTAAATTTGTTAATAAAACTGATTGTAAGATTGTAAGAATGAACCTTTGATTATTTTTTGTGTGCCTTTATAAAATTTTAATTTTTAAAAAAATGTTCTACAAATTATTAATACCACAGTTTTGTTACCTTTAAAAAATTAATTATCATAGACAATGTGCATGGCATTCAACGTTTGCTTTTCTATTGTTGCTGTTGACTGTTAGTACATTGTTTGACTAACCTCCTCAAGCTGCTCCTGATGTTCTGAAAACTTCACAGTTAGCTCCTCCACTCTGCCCAGATCTCCAGCTAGTCCAGCCATTCTAAGAGCCTTGAGTAAACCTTCATCATCATTTTGCCTGAAAAGATCAGATGCTTGGCTCATGGCAGTTGCTAGAAGCTGAAGATAAAAATATAAATTATGAAGAAGCGTCAACAGTTAACTGTTATGAAGAGGGTCAACTTTTAATTATGTCAACAATTTTTTACCCTTTTTTTTTCATAAATTAAATAATGCCCCTCTCCTATTTCAAGGACCACAAATTTAAGGTTATTGACAAAAAATAGACATAAAATAACCACTGATAAGGGTTTCATCTATTTAACAGCATTGATATTTGTACCCATCCTATTCCACATGCACTTCCCTTTCTACAACCTGTTAATATGTCAAAGCCTATATCCCCCTGACACACACACATCACAGACACCATACCACACACACACCATGTTTGTTGGAATAAAATAATAGATGATGCTAAGAGGAGGTGGATCAAAGTTAGATTATATTCACTGACGATTATATTTACTAAAGATTCTATTTACTAAAGATTATATTCACTAAAGATAAAGATTCTATTGTGCCAAAATGCTGAATAATGCTAATAATCCAATGACTATACAAACATTCAGAGGCAAAATACTTGTCACACACTCAAAACTCACTGGTAAGGAGCAAATTTCATTTTTGTCATTGCTTATAAAAAGCAATAATAATTGCAAATACAATAATATCCCACTTAAACTGTTTTGATAATTTAAGTTTAAATTGAAAACCATACACTTTTTGGACAATAACTTAAAAGCTAGTTTCTGTCTTAGAAAATTTAATGAATTGTCAGAACACTTATGCACAATAATTTTAACTGTTTCGTTTCTATTAAAATGTGTAGAATTATCAAAAACTAAAAGTGGGATATTATATATGTAATTATCAAATTTAAAGAGAAATATGCCTTTTAAAAAAATATAAATTTTTAAGAAAAAATACTTAAAGGAATTAGACAAAGCTGTTACAAATTATTATCAATCTGGTTATTTACCTGTTTTCTTAAAATCTTTGAAGATTCTAAGGTTTTGATAATAGAAGTTTCAAGGTCTTGAGTAGGGGTCCTGGCATCTCTACAGTTCTTTCATGAGAGAGATGGCAAGAATATACAGTTATAAGGTGCATTGCAATTGGGAAGAATGGAAAATATTCTTTCTAAGCATTACAACAAAACCTTAGCTAGTAAATTCCAAACAAACTGTCATTTCCTTAAAAATCATTAATTAACATTTATATTTAATATTTCAATTTTAACAATGGTTCTAAATTAACAAAAGATATTTGCCAATACTTTTTTATGTAAAATTTACTTTAAACAATTTTCTTTCAAAAGTGAAACAATGAGTGAAAGATTGACTAAAGCTCTGTTGTAATTAAAAAATCACCTACCAAGTTTTGTCCCAGCAAGAGCATGTTCTGTAGATCATCCCGCAAGTTGTCACTCAGCTGGACAATTTTTTCTCGAGATTCATGAGAAGTGTAGTATGAATCAGTAAACTCTTCAACTGTCTCCTTGACATTCTCAAATGCACTAAGAAGTCTGTCTTCTACAGCAGGGCCTATCATTGTGACTCTTGTCATATCAATTTGATCCTGATAAGGTAATTCAACATAAAATTACTGTTCTGACTTTTTTTCTTTTTTTTTTAATTTATATTTCAGGGGAATAAGTGAAGTGGTGGCCTTATTAAGGGTCAGCAGAGATTTATATAATTTTCTCCAGGTACCTTGAAAAAGAAAATTTTTGTGTAGATCACTGAGGGCCAAGTGTACCGTACCCTCTAAAAGAAGGTTTTTAATATTAATAAATAAATGAACTTACCCTAATTTTTTATATGATTTATATCCTTCTTGACAAAAAAAAAATATATATTCATGTCATGATTTACACATTTTTTTCTCAAAATATTTTTTAATTGGTGTGCCTCTGCAATTTTTTTACCAGATAAAAACAAAAATACCGGAACACTACTTGTCTGTTTTTATCACCAGCATGATCTCATTCTGGATAGCTTTGGCAATGAATTGATTACACTGGCATTTTATTTTATGGGGTCAACTAATGGTTGGTAATGCACTTTTCAGGCTTTTCGCATCAAAAACTAGGGGGCACAAACAGGCTTATGAGCAAACAGGCTTCATTTTTTTTTTCAGTTTTACAAATATTATTGTTTTCAGATTATTTTTGTTTGTTTGTTAAAGGTAGCCGTTACTCGTATAGCAATAAAATGCATCTATTAACTAATCATTTAAAATGGGTCAAAGTATTCTTGATGATCAATGATGAACAAAGCCTGTGCTTTTTTAACAGTTATAAATTATAAATTCTACACTATTATCATTCTAACAAAAATTTATTTAAGGCTGGAATATATGTAAACAATAATTGAAGGCTGGTTTACATATATTCCAGTTCTAATGGAGTAGAACAGTGGTTCCCACCTATTTTTTACTCTCTGAGCCCTATTTAGAATCAATTACTATGGGGTAGCCCCTAAGGCCTACAAGTTTATAGTGTTAAAGACGTTTCATGGAACCACAGCAGAGCCCCTGAGAAGTGCATGTGGAGCCCTTAGCACAGATTAGGAACCACTGGCGTAGAGTTATTTTCATGGCCTGTACCTCAAAATCAGAAAATGCTTTGCTTGCTGTAGGATGAGAGGAGACCAGTCCTATACCAGAATCTCCATTGAGAACTGGACCTCTCTCAGAACGGTTCTCTTCAGGCCCACCTTGCAGTACAACATGCTGAATGAGTTCCTGAGCTTGACGTATCATAGAGAAAACACCTTGACGCGTGTGTCGTGCACTTGAACAATCAGGGTGTCTTAAACATGTCTATAAAGATAACATTGAATAACCTAATGAACAAACTTGATATCAAAATTAAAATTATAATTTCCTAAGGGTGATAACAAAATTTTAATAGAAAAAGTAATACATTTAGTAGATTTTGGCTAAACTCTTTTAAAACCAGTTCAAAGACTAAAACTACACTCCCATTCTTTATTATTTGTATCAAAAAATCAATTATTTGAGTTCTTACAAAAAACACATGCATGTCTCTTCAAAGTGACAAGAGATTCACTCAAGTTTTGGATTTTAAAAATATTTTTTAAAATTTCGATTCATACACACTTATCGACCTTTAACAATCATTGAAAAACCATTTATATGATCATTTGAGGCCACTTAACAAGCCGAAGTGGCTATTCTATCGTCTCGCAAAGACGGAACGATGGCATATATATATATTTGTATGTACTTAAAACAAAACTACTACAGTTAATACAGTTTATTGTAAAGAAATTTTAAAATAAGAGAAATGTACAAATCATTACCATCTTTTTTAAAAATGTAATTTTAAACAATGCAACTTTTAATGAACTATACAAAGAGTAGAGTTTATAATCAAACTTTTTATTTTTTTGTACTTCCTTTGGTCATTGTACATACAATATAGTATTTTTTAAGCAATCACACTTCAACCACTTGCATGTCTGGTTGTTACGAACTTGATATTACCCCTGTTCAATACCTTCGTTGTTAAGGGGTAATTTAATTATTTAACAAACCATTAATTCCTTTAATAATTGTCTCTGTATTAAAATAACAGCTCCATTACTAATGCTCCATTATGGGAGTCGCTTAGTCACTTCCTTGTTTGGTCACGTGATGAGAGTAAGCCATCACTAGGCTGCTACACACAACAAAAGATACTTCATCAGTGCTTCCCCAATGTCATGTTACTTAAAAATGTTACCTTTCGAAATATTCTGGAATACACGTGTTTTTTAAATGAAATACATAAATGTGACAATAAATATACGTCAGTTATGATTAAAGGAAGAAAGTTATTTCAAGAAAAATTTGTGAGCGATATTGATGGGAATTATCAATACTATCATCGGCAGGCTGTTGTTGAGCTCCGTGCGTGCTCATGACTTCATTTTGCGTGTTTATTCAATATTGCTGCAGGAGTCATTCCCCTTTGTTTATTTTATTGTTAATTTTCATTGGACGAAATGTCGGCATACCCATGACGTCATTTGCGTTTTTATTCAATATCGGTGCGGCGAAGGAATATTTTAATAACCGATTGGAACAAGATTTTATGTGAATAATTAACGAAGGTCCACTTTGTTAAGCTATCGTCTTAAACTGTCTTTATCCTTAAGCGGAAACTTATGCAGACTTATACCGCTGTCCTCAACTTGACTGTTTGAACAGCCAAAAGCCGAATATTGCCTATGCATCTTGAATTACTAGTTTTAGTGTGTATCGGGCTACTGTTGTCAAGCACTAGTGTGTTGTATACAACCTACCGGAAGTCTTACTCGTTTTTACTCTCATCACGTGACAAATCAATCGACTAAGCGACTCCCATTAACTACTCCATCACTGCTAAACAAACCATAACAAAAACCACAAGGTCATTTCCTATACCCAAATAGTCACAAAATACAAAGCATATTATATCAACAGCTACACAAATACTCTCAGCACCAAACACGCACGCACAAAAAAACGAACAAATCATTGACACTGGTTACCTGGTGATGTACAACTGAAGTTGTCTACATAGCTTTGTTTAAATACTGGCATTTAAATTTTTAAAAACTCGCTGTAGTCTCTATATATCTTCTCCAATATATATGCAATTACATTATCTCCATATATCATCTCAAATATAAATGCAATTACATTTTCACTATATATCTTCTAAAAAAAATAAATGCAATTACATTTTCAGAATTAATTCACTAGGGCTCAGTTCAAATTTCTTACACTTACCTTACAAGACAATAATAACATCATAGTTGACTTTTCCAATATGGCTCTAGCTGAACCCATCTGTGCTCTGTGTTTATCACTTTTCAGATCCTAATCAAATGTAAAACAAATAGCGAAAGAGTGAAAAGGTGACTCTTTAACATTGAAATAAACAGCACAACAAAATATATTTTTGACAATGAGAAATTTGTTAGAGATTATTATAGCTTACAGAAACAATATTTAATCATGGCTTCATTGGTATCTTTCGGTGTGTGTTTTTTTTTTTTAACTGCTTAACTATTGGAACTTCAAATATTTTCTGAGCAAAAATTAGGGAACTTCATATATTTCTGGGTTTAAATCATTTCTAGAACTTTTAAACTAAGGAACCTTGACGCGTTTTAGGGGCTAAATTATTGTTAGAACAGGAGAATGAATTTTACCTTCCTATAACACTATAAGGTGGAGTTATCCTGAAATTTCTTTTTTAACTAATTTACTTGTCACCTTTCGTTTGGTGAACATACTGTTATGTAGCACACTTTTTCCGTGCGTGAACTTTACTTGACCTAAATTAGAATCCTAGCAGACAGTAACGTCTGTTGTGGGCGTGGTTAAATCTCTTTGATGTATCTTGTTTACTATCGGCTTCCAATTACACATTGGGTAGTATGTCTCCTGGTAGTTTCTTGAATGTGCTCGATAACCCGAGAAATGTAAACACTTCATAACTCTTTTCTGGAAGCGTCTTACGCGACATGTATATAAAGGATTGACAGATACGGAGAGACGGAGATTCAGATAAATATTATTAACTTTATGAGACGTGTATTATTCTTTGTGTATTTGTGTGCTCATACTCATATGTGTTTATTTTGCATTTCATCATTATTCATTGGCACATTATTCTAACTGTGTTACCTGTGTACCGGTACAAGATCTACCATACTGTAAGTTGATGATTTATAATTATATTTCTTTTGTTTTGTTATTGTATTAATACTTAATAAATCTTAAATTAATTGTGACTGGCAACTGTTTTGGGTGACGTATCTTTACTATTGTTGACTCTATGGTATCATCCTTTGTTAGGCACTGTTTACAATGAGCCAATAAAATTAAAATGGGAGATTAATTTCTCATATTTGAAGCCAGAGCTTAACAATACAGTATGACAAAGGAGGAAAAGGTAAGATAAAACTTTCATGATTTAGGATTTACATTTTGCCGATCTCCTGAAAGGTGAGCAAGTTCCACCATATCTTTTCCAAATTGACTAAATGCATTCACAAAGTCTGTGAAATTGTTGACTTCTTCCACCCTCGCAAGACTTAACAACACCTGAAAAAATAAAATATTAAAGAAATTATTGATTTGCCAAATGCATTGGTGTTACCTTTCCATTGGTTACATGAGAAGGCACTAAAGAAGAACACTTTTAAACTAGCAGTTGTATTAGTTGTTTGGTTTTCTGTGTAGTTTGTAATATGGTCATCTCTATTTTGGTAGAGAAAGTATTTAAATAGCATTTCTTAAGCTGTGTTTCTAAAGAAAATGTTTGCATGTTGTTCATTTTTTTTTCTTCTTATGAGCTGGGAAAAGGGGGGGGGTTTTTTTTTTTTTTTTTAGTGTGGGGGGGGGGGGGGGGGGGGGGGGGGGGGGCATGTTTGGTGTGTTTACTCTCTGAAGTGTGTTCCAATAGTAAGTCTGCCTGGCCAACTTGTGCAATCCAAAGAAAATGTACATTTTATTTATCATGGTCATGTGTCTTAAATATTTCAGTTTTAGATAAATACAAACATAGCCAGAGATTAAATAAATCTAGTTTAAAAAATGATAATGCTCAGCCTTAAACTTTTCCAACATTGGTCTAATCCTTACATATGCCACACATTGGTGTAATCCTTACACATGCCCAACACTGGTGCAATCCTTAAACATGCCCAACATTGGTCTAATCCTTACACATGCCCTACACTGGTCTAATCATTACACATGCCCAAAATTGCCCTAATCCTTACACATGCCCAGCATTGGTTTATTTGTTACTCATGCCCAACATTGTTCTAATTAATCACCTGGCCTAATTATTCAAATATCCATGCTGACTTCTGTTATAAATTATAATTTTTTTTTAAAGTAAGTACACCAATTTAACAATAAATGTCAAAAGTGCAATATCTGCCCACCTTATCCTTGCTAAGTAAAAGTTGTTTGACAACTATACGATCAGCCAAAAGTAAAACTTTGGTAATGGCAGACAAAAGTTGTCTTGCTGCTCGCACCATTGCTGTTTTATCAGCTGCCACACTAAGTGACTCATCATGGCTAGGGTAGCATGATGTCAACCTCTGGATTGTAGTGCCTATAATCAGAAAATAAGATGCAAAGTTAGTACAGTAGTGTTCCCTAGCTAACTAACCCTGATAATCTGGTCTGAAGTGTTCCCTAGCTAACTTAACCTGATAATCTGCTTTGTAGTGTTCCCTAGCTAACTTACCCTGATAATCTGGTATCTGGCAAAACTTAATCAATTTAATAAGAATGTGAATTAATACCTTTATCTTCTTTAGCCCATTGTGTTTATATATTTATTCTTGTAGTAGATGCAGTAAAACCTTGTCACCAATTTTAAAGATTTTACAAATGCTTTTAATAGTGATTTTAAAAAATCATTTCACGTTAGTTATATGTAAATTCAGCTAGCCCAATCATAAATCAAAATAGATACTCCTCACTTCATTCCCAAGTTTCTTTCCTAAAGCTAAGCTGTCAAGCAAAGAGCATAAAAAGGTTTTTTGTGAACAAAAAGATAGAAAAAAGGGGATTTCCCCACAATGGAAATTTTGTAGTATGCCCAAATGGTCATAGGAAAGGTAGCTCGATCATAGCTACAAAGAACAAAACTTTTTATTTTTCTGAAATTATGACTTTTGAAAAAAGGTTCTGCTTTTATTTCATCCTCAATGTACAAGTCGACAGTCATTCAATGAAACTTAATATGTTAACAAAAATTAATACAAACTGATAATACTTAAAATTTTAATTTCTCCTGTTTTAAAAAAAAAATATTGATTGTGCATAAGAAAAATAAATCAAGTAATTTATTTGGGTATCAAATTAACATTTTTAATGTGGATATGGAACAGCATTGATAATATTTTAAAATAGTAATTAACTCTTAGGAGTAACAGCTGCAAATTAAACAAATATATAAACAGAACCACAAAGGATGCATCAGGATAAAAGGACTCTTTGGATCACATAATATTTGGATGAACTCTTACTTATTTTTCATGTCTTGAAAATAATTTCTAGACATGAACAAGAAGCTTAAAAGATTCCTTCGTTTAAATGGTAATTGTCTTTATTTTTAACTTATGACACTATTATTGAACTGTTGAATATTTTTTTCAAATGTTAGTCTCGTATCATCAAATAAAAAATACCCCAGCTGTCGTACAACGTACCTGCTATTCGAGCATCATGACAGGCCAAACACATATCAGCTTTTATATCAATATTTTCTTCAGCGATAGACTGCCCCACTGAGACAAATCGATCTACGGCAGAACTAACAGCAATGCCAACTCTTTCAAGGGCCCGCTGCTGCTTTTCAGACAGCTTGGGGCGTTCTTTGTGATTCACTAATGTAGTTATCTAGTTATAGAAGAAAATAATTGTTTTGTTTTTTTAAAGTCACAAAACATTAATTTAGGAAAACATAATAAAGGAATAGCCTGATCATGGCTTATAACAACCATATGATATTTTAAAATAATTATGGAACTACAGATCCCTAATACATTGGAATACATTTTTTTTTAACTGTGTTTTTTTTTTAATGGTTAATAAGAAAATTTTAGCTGTGATGTTTCACAATTATTAACATTCGGAAAACATAGATTGGTTATTAACTATTCTTTAAGCTCAACATCTCAACGCTTGGCTGCTCAAAACCCTTAAGCATGGTTGCTCAATTCAGCTTTTTAAATAAAAATTAACTGTAAATAAAACAGGTGCAAATAAAATGATTAATAATAAAACTCATGTTATGAAACTTTGAAATGTCTTATTAACAAAGACACAATGCAAAGTTTAAGCTCAAAAAGCCATCAAGTATGAAATTAACTGTGCAAATATTTGAATCAGACTAAAAAAATGTATGTCAAGTAAAATAAATTTAGGTAAAAACAGAAACATAAATTAATTTAGGGAAAGGTGGGTCACATATTTGTAGCAATGCCAGTATCAAAAGGATGTCAAATTTTCTTGACAAGTTATGACAATGGGGGAAGGGCGGTGGGGGGTGTAAAACATTTGCTAAAATAGTGGGACAGTTCAGTAGGCATTTTATGGCTATACTTCAAAATTTTTAAATAAGTATCTAAAATCATTTCTTCGCTAGCTGGGATTACAAATTGTGGGTGTGATGTGGGTGGTGTAGTTTTCTGACTCTTACTCATGGTTTAGTCCACTACAATCGTACTCAATTTGACACTTTTCTCACCAGTGTCTATTTGTAACACACGTTTTAGTTGAGGGAAAGGGGCGACCAAAATCGCGGACACTTCTTGCCGCAAATGTAAAGGGATACAATAAAGTTGCTATGTTTGCCACTGACAGAAATGTATCACTAATTGAAATTGATTTGTTTGAAATTTAAACCATTCTCTTTATTTTGTTATTTTAATTTTACTGTAACCCATTGTCTCCCTTTTCCCTCCCCATTTTAGCAGATGTGTTTTTGAACAAGTGGTAGATTACCTGTATCAGTATCTACTAGCCCGCTGCATGCCTCCCACTCCCACTGACCACTGGCTGCACCTCCCTTTCAACTATTTTAAACGGTGTTATTTAAGCTTAATTGTCCTAATAGTAAAGCCTTAGCTGTAAGCCCAATAGCATAAGGCCTAGAATTATTAAATTAATACAAATTAAAAAATTATTTCCACTCCTGACGTAAATCAATCCTGGAAATCCCTGCCTCAACTCAGCAACTGTCACTGACTCAGTCACTCAGTCTCGGCTCAGGACTTATCAACATCAGTATCAGTTATCAAAGCGCAGACCCTTTTTTATTAATGCATTATTTTTTAATAAAACACTTTGTGGTCTACAAATATATAAAGATGTAATAACCTGTGTCACCAGAGGAACAAGAGTCTGTTCCACCGATTTGGTGCGAATCTCTAGAGTAAGTTTGGCTTCGTTTTTAGGCTGATAGCCAGCCATTTTCTTTGCTAACAGCCAGATTCTTACCGAGAAATAAGATATACTATTGACATAACCGAGAATATATTAGCAAACCTTAACATTTAATGTTCCTAAATATTACAATAAAAGTAACATTCTTTTTTTAAACTCATTTTAGAAATGGGGACAAAAAAAAGAATGTTAGACCTTATTATTATATGATACTTATATTAATTTTAGCCACGACTATAGATTATGGCTCATAAGGGACCTCGCAAATATTATAAAACGCAAAGAGAGTAGGGTAGTGGTTTATAATTTTAAATGTTGTAGTTGTATATAAGGGGTGAGGGAATGGTTGCTAGAAATGTTATATAATTTAAGGGGATGCCAATCGAATACTATATGACGTTATAAGAGATAAGGGTGGGTCCAAAATGTCATATCTCTATGACCCTTAATATGAGACAGAGAGTTGAAATCTAATCATAAAATATAGTTTCTTTCCTACAGGCCCTACAATAAGAGCCGTTGAGTGACTTTTGTAGCCCCGCTGCCACTTTTCAGTTTTGTGCCAGTGCATTCAAAGTTTATATTTTAATTCAGTAGTCCCCAAACCCTGGGCCGCGGACTGGTACCGGTCCGTGGATCAAATGGTACCGGGCCGCCCAAGAAACATTAAATTATTTCCATCTTATTACTGTGGTGTATTTCTCTTGGGATTGTTCGCCTGTTGCACTGAGAGCATCATATTTGATGGCTAACCATATTGCTAATGCTAAAAACCAAATTTCCGTTCGATCAAATTACCGTCGATCAATTTACCGTCGACGAAATTTATTTCGATCAAATTTCCGGTAACCGTCTGATACCGTATGTCAAAAAGCTTGCGTAGACAGGATAGGTGTATCTGGTTTAGTTTTCTGACACCATGTCTGCTGTACCATGTCCGGTATCATATTGGCTTCATCAAGATGCCAGCACAGAACGTTCTTGGTCAATTCCACAATTTGCTGGGCATGCAATATCAAAATTTAATTGCCCCACTCCTTTTACACCACAAATTTAGTACATCATATTTAAATGAGACTATTTCCGTAAAACAAACAAACAAACAAATTACACACCAAACGCGTTTGTGGTATTTTTTTTAAATCTCATTCAGTGCATTTATCGGGAATTTTATTTAAATTTAATGAAATGGTAAGTGGCATCAGTTGATTGTTAAATTATTGTCAAAGCCCAGTCAAGCACAAACATCACCAGCACGTCGGGTTGATGGGACCAATGTTCCCTCTAAGGTTTGTTGGTTCGTTTGCAAAATCATACATTTGTGTGCAAAGTTTTACAGCTTCAATTTTTTTGTGCGCATAATTTTACAGCCCACTCACTTGCATGGAAATTGGCTGCGCGGTACTCAAAACTGCTGCGCGGCGTCTGTGAGATAGCTGCGCGGCAGCGCAGCCGCGCAGCTTAAAGGAAGCATTGGATGGGACTCGTAAACCTTTGATGGCAACTCATCTAAGAGAAAGAAACTCTGAAATTCCATCCCAGAGATGAAGTCCAGTAGGAGGATAATATTAGTACAATGAACAACTCATGCGATGCCACTGATGCCAAGCTGTATCATCCACACGATGTTCCCTTGGGTTATTCAGCGGCGTGGAGAGAGGCGATTTGCTGTTGGGAACCAGCTTATAATCCTAGAAGAATAAGCCAAGACCTTGTGAATATGGTCTTGCGAAATCTACACAAGCGTCACATTGTGACGGTCGGATGCAAGCAAAAAAATAATAATAATTATTGTTACATATAATATAGATTTATCATAATTTATGAATTTAAATAAAAGCAATATAGATAATTTGAGATTTTTGCCCCCCCCCCCAAACTGATGTTGGCACCCTGTGTGGCTGCCACTTTCATCCTCCTCCTGCATCCAAGGCTAAGCAGTAGGTCACAGAAGGCAGTATTTTACTGTACATAATGTTATTATAATAAATATGGTGACATATACTAGATGGCGAACGATAATTAATTCAACCCTACACGGCGATAGGAAGTGGGTGTGTCTCACTATATGTGATTGACTTTTGCAAAATAAAACCATACTATTTTGCGCAACATTGAAAAATAGATACAATAGTGCTGAATTTATAAATGATGAATATGAAATATAAAGTTTAAAGCATTTAAAATTCTTAATTAATTGAAAATCTTATTTTGAAGATAGTTTTTAATACACAAAAAAAAATTACAGCCATAAGCGACAATCACATTCTTCTTCCGTTGCCGTGCAAGCCGAGGACCACTATTCAGAAGTACTGATAGAAATTAAATACCAACTCTGTTTACATTATTGGCTGACACAGAAATCGCCAATATTCCACGCAACTATGAATGTGAAGAAGATGATACCTTGTATTGTTTCTTAAGCAGGGACATAGTCTCTAATATTTTTATTAATTGGAATGATACGATCTCGCTCTTTTCAATTAAACAACGACGCTGGAAACGACGACCACAGTCGCGAAATAAAAACTGAGGTAAGTCAAGTACAAGTCCAAGTAATAATGATTAGTTGCAGGCTCAGAGCCGTTGTGTGACCTTTGGAACCTTCTGCCACTTTTTTATACATGCACACTCATGTTATTTCGTCAATAACAATGTTTATGGGCGTGATAATGATAAATTTCAAGTGAAAATGAATGGTTTGAAAAGGCCTAAGTTTGCTTAAAAAATAAAACAAAAATAAAAATTGAAACTTTACCATTCCCTAGGATTATGCAATATTATTCACCTTTGCCTTTGACAACATTGATGAGCATGATAATGATAAATTATAACAAATATCCCAAATGAAGGAATTGAATAAACCAAGGGTTCCAAATTTTAATTTTGAAAAAAAAATTAAAAACAAAAATAATGATATAAATATTACCATTCTCTTAGTTTTTCTTCCACAAAACTGTTAACATTTGTCCAGGCTTAATTGAAATGTAGTTTTATGGAAATATAGGACAAGTAGGTCATCATGTAGCTGTGGGCAGCTTTCGCAGAGTATTAGTCATTTAACATACAATGACAGCAAGACATCGAGCACTAATAAATATAAGATTGTCGGCCTAGAGATAGACAGTCTGACTTCTGGTAGATGACCGAAAACCTCAGTCACTTTCGGCAGAATGGCCAAACGTCTGTCAATTTCGTCCGAAACCCAAATTAAACCGAAAGTTAACTTTTCTCTTTTAGCCGAAACCGAAATTAAGCCAAAAGTTAACTTTTCAGTTTTGGCCGAAAGGGATCAAATTGCCAATTTCGGCGCCGAAGCTGAAATTCGGTCGGTCTCTAATGTATGGTATTGTGAGGTATGGCCCGTACTTATGGTCACGTAATAAGTGGTATTGGTGGAGTTGTACTGGTACAGGGGCGTTTTTCTCTGATGGTTCACTAGTCTAGCACTAGAAGCACAACGAAGAAAATACAGAACACTAACGAATGACCAATCAACTCCTCAGCAACAGTTATAGATAAAAGATGTATTGATGAATATAATATAACAAAAGTCAGTAATGGTTCTTTCCTAACTCTAACACTTAAATAATGGTCTATCCCTGTTCTATTCTTGACTAGGTCTAGTACCACTACATCTACCACTTCATAATGACCTTCCACTAATCTCTAACTTTCCCTATGTCACGAAGAGCTATATCTTATATAAAATTTTTTACCTTCCTAGGTGGTCCAGGAGTGCTAGCTATTAACCCATCCCTATCTCTCATTTCCGGTCAATTAGGAACTTCTGTAGTTAATTCTAACATTATCATGCAAAGTCTGGAAGGTCAGAGACATAATATTTTGGAAAGAAACAACCCCCCCAAATGTCAAAGATGCGAGAATCTATGAACCGTACCCCATCCGGCTAACAATTCCCTCCCCAAAATCACAGTAGTTTTCATCCACCCTATAAGTTAACTGGTTTTTAGTTTCAAAACAAAAAAACACAAGAGTTTCAGCAAGCTGAAGTTAAAGCTCTAAGGCCAATTTGATAGTACATTTAGTTGAGTTAGGCCAAAATAATTCAAACAGACTACTCTTACAGATTTAGATTGAGTCAAACAATATCTACACCATGATTAATTACATCCACTTAGACATTTCAAATATCCAACAATAGAATATGCAAAATGTTACAAAGGAACATATTTTATTTAGACAGACTTGGTATTACATAATTGGTATCTATTTTATCCTGGCATAATAAATCCTAAAACTCTGCAAGTTGGGCATACTCTCCAACAACAACAACACACACACATATACAACCACCACTCCAACCCCATCCCCCAAATTAAATAAATGTAAAAAAAAATTCACATTAGTTTAGTTACCTCTAGTTCGTTCCCCTTTTACTTTAAGCTTTATTATTTATAAACAGAATGGTTTTTTTTTATCACTACCGTCTCAGAGTTTAATAACATAATTTAATCTTGACAATCTAGGCCTCCTGGTGATAACTTGTGCCTGATACTTTACAGATTGTATTGTAAAATGTGTTCATGGCAATGATACATGAACTGTCATAAAGGACTGTTAGATTGCTATTTTTAAAGCATAAGACATGCTCTTTAAGAAGCTAGGTAAAACCACCAAGTATAAAGTGAAACTTTTATTTCATTAGGATTATCAGCTAGGTTGATAAAGTATACACTTTTAAGAAAATGCGGTCCAATCAATCATAGGGCAAGATCTATGAATGCTCTTTGTGATGTACAACTACCTTATTTCTGTTGGGGGGGGGGGGGGGGTTTGTTTCAAGAGTAAAAATGTAATTTTAAAAAAAAAAAGGGAAATGTGGGGGAAAAAAGGAGTAAAATAATTCAGCACATTTATTTCATTAAAAAAATATCAGAAAATATCTTTGTTGTTATTCCACATATAATTTCATATAAGTTGGGGGATTTGGATAATGTAATGCTAGACTTAAAACCTGTGTCTGTAATAATGTTAGAACTTCAATGCTTTTTTTGTAACCACCTTCTTCAGTCTATTTAATAACTGCTGTAACTTTCAGTCATAGATGGGATAAAATATGACACAAAATCTATTATCTGGACATTTTTTCTGTTTTAAATCCAGGTTTTGGTGAATTTTTATTGTGCGGAAACACAGACTTTAAAAGCCTGTGGTCTGTACAATGACTAGTGTCTTATATGTCAGCGGAGTAATGAGTTGAATATAATTTTAGTGCATCAGATACATAAGAAATGATGTCTCTCAAATGCTTGAATCAATGCAAAACCTCAGCAACCATTAAGTGACATGAGGATGTTTGCAATAAGTGTTTTTTTTTTTAATATTTAGAACATGATGTGTTAATTCATTTTACTTGTCAAAATTCTTGCTTTTTATTTTACATATTAGATCTTAGACCAACGGGCTATCAAATTTGTCCATGGTGTATGTTTATTCTGGTTACAATCTCTTATATATATTACGCTTCTGGTGTGACTCTGGACTGCTTCCAAATCAGTGAATTTGGCATTGAGAGTATATTATAAATAATTCTAAATGTTTGAAAGAAAGAATGGTTCAATAATGAGTTCAGTAGCGCGTAAAATATAAATCCGGATAACTACGCTTAATGGTATATATTTTTCTACATAACGCAACTGCGTTTAGCACGTAATATTTTATTTTCGGAAAATGAAATCGTCTCAATTTAAGTATGGTGTAAAAAATATTCTGTTTAAAAGTGGTTGGGACACCAGAATATTTAATATAGTTCATGGGCGTTAATGTATTGTCAAGTAACTCTAGTAGATGAGAAGTTCACACATTGTTGTCGCCAATGTTTGGTGGGCTATATCTAGTAATATTTTATTTTGTTAGCTTCCTAGACTCAAAATATCAGTTGGTGCTGATATTCATGTGTTAGCTAAAGACAGAGAGATTCTCACTGACCCTGAAGAAACAAGACGACGTAGGGCTATTCGACTTGTACGCAGCAAGGCGAACTCTTGGGGATTTACATTACAGGTAATTATTTTGTCTGTGATGTTTCTATTTACTTTGCTGTACCTAAGACTTAAGAGCAGACAAATTACTTGATTCAAGAAATAGAAGAGATTGAAATCTGAGAGATGCAGTTTTCAAATATGTTTCTGAAACAAGCTGTTCACAAGAGATGTGTGAACTACAGATTCTTTGGGGAAGATGTAAAAATCTATAAATGGTATTCATAATGTAGAGCAATGGTTCTCTAAGTGTGTGCACAGTTATTTTGGAGAGGTAGGTATAACTTAAAAAGAAATTAAAGGGCACTGGAAGAGAAGAGTACTGGAGATGTATCTTTTGCACATTTTGTCTTCTTGTTATTACCCATGATCACATCGTCCAACAATGCTTTAACACACCAAAACATTGAATTTCTAAAACAAGTTTTTAAAAAATCAGTTCTAAAAATTCCATTAATAAGCCTGGGTTGCTGATAATTTCATGGTACCGGTATAAAAGTGAAGTTTATACAATACATTTATTACTTTAAAAAACTTTTACCTAGAAATGAGCAAGGCAAGGCTTAAAAATAAAGTAAAAAAACATTGCACACTGTCCCCATCAGGAAAGAATAAGTTTTTTTGTTTTTGCAAAGGAAGATTTGTAATTAACATCAATCTTGGTATAGTGTGCAGAACCTCCAGTCACTAAAATTATGGGTGTTGTTGCCATGTTGATGCCATGATCATGATAAACTAATGTATCCAGACCACAAAGAGCTTCACCATTCAATATGTATTTAACGTAAACATTATTTGCTCTTACTTTTTTTAGCAACTCGGATCAGAAATGTTCTTTTCAAAATTGATACATTATCTCCATATACTGATTATTTGTACTTTTTTTATGGTGGCTGTCTTGCCTTTATAAAGTTTTTTTTATCCAAGACCTATGGCATCAGAAACAAACGTACCAAAGAGGTTGAGGTCATGTCCTATGTGGATTATGTGGAAATCAATGGACCTGCCTGGGTAGCAGGGATGAGGCGAGGTAAAAAATAGACATACATTTACCTCTACCCTCCATAGTGTTGGCAGCAAATTGGTAATAATATTATCTGGTATAAAAGTTTTACATAGAACTTACAATGAGAAAGCTACGATCAGGTATTTCAAGGCATTAGAGACCCCAAGATAATGTAAATAAAAGCAGACATGGCAATACTAGGTGATGCGAACTTGATAAAGAAGTACATAGATGGGGAGATGTGAAACAACCAAAAATACTTCCTTAGGACATATGCTGATGGAATGTATATATTTTGTTCTATAAATTACATTTACAAATAAATTGCTTCCTATTTGTGTCGTTACAGTATGTATGAAAAAAACACATGCAGTACTTGACTTTTTCTAAGTCTTCTTTATAATTGTAACAGATGTGTAACCGGTGTTGTTACTTAATTACAGTCTGATCCTAACTATTAATTAAATGAATGGCTATGAAAGCACGATGAGAATGCAGAGCATCTTTTCATTTCATCACTATGCACTTTGATCACATTGAAGGGTCACAATTCACAATATAAATATATGTCCAAACTGGAACAAAATAACTGTTATGACATCGTGTAACTTTATTCTCTTAGTCATATGAACAGGTCAAAGATAGTAGCTCCAATTTGATGGGATATATCCTAAATAAATCCTCAATACATTGCAAGAGCACCTTTCCCATTTAAATATATCGCAAACTTCCTTCCTGTTTCTCTCTCTGCGCATGACATTAAAATCATCATCTTAATACATCTAAATAATGGAACAATATAGAGCTGTTACAATAATGGTTTCATTTAACTATAACTGTATCAATATTTAATGAAGAAAAGTAAACGTGTAAGCAAAGAGCTGAACTTAATTATTGTTGAAATATAAGACAATTCTATTGATGTTGGGACAGATAAGCATGCTCAGGTTTTATAACCTATGCAAAAGCTACATGTTCACTTTCATTATCTTCCTTCTTGAATCATATCTAAAATTGTAAGGAAAGGGAGGAGTATATTCAAAATAATTATATGTCAGTAATTTAAAATAGCCATCTCATTCTCACCCATTAAAAGAGTACAATCACAAATCTGATGCTGGTAGCAATAATTCACTTTGTAAGTGCAGTTATTAATAGCACAACAAATATTTCCTCTAAATTCCTGACATGAAAAATGTATGTCCATTCTTTAAATTTGCTCCAAGACCTTAAAGGCTTTTTACTCTACACAGGTGACATTATCCTTTCTGTGAATGGAGAAAGTGTTGAAGCTGCCACTCATAATGAATTGGTAAATAAAATCAAAAGAAGTGGCCATGAATTGAGGTATGAATTACTTAAATATTATACAATTCTTTAAAAGGGAATACATTTTACACATTTTTATGTACCTTAATTGCAGGTTATGTAAAACTTATTTTAGAATAGAAGCAATTGCTGTTCAGGCTATAAGTTTTAGTTTTTTGTTTTTTTTTAACTGACTTCAATGTTATAAAACAATCTGGGAAGCATTACAAGTAAAAAGAAGTTGTCTGACCAAATAAAATGGTTAGATTATATTTGCGCAACGTTACAATTGAAAAACGTTTCTGGACATGAGGGTGAAAGATAATACCGCACTCTAAATTACTATACAAAATCAATGTAATTTTTAAAAAAAAATTATTATTTTGAACCTTAAATTTTAAGACATTAATATATACATTGAAATGATTGTTCGTCAGAAAGCTAAGTAGATTGGTCAGTGTATTATAAATGGAGCATTAGAATAAAAGTTTGAGTGGCTTTGCTGCCATCTAATGTAACTTATGTTTTCAGACTGGTGGTGTTGTTTGAAGACTGTTGCACCAAAGTGGAACTGCATGAGCGTTACCTCAAACTTAAGGTTAGGGCACTTTTCTAAACTCTGTTGCTATCAAATCTGAAAGTTATTGAAAACAATTTATTGTATGATATGTAATCTTTTTAATGTATAAACAAATTGTACTTTCCAGAAAGTCACCTAAGATCCTGTTTGGGGAAAAAAAATCACAAAAATTTTGTGAATTTGCGAAATTTTGCTGAAGTAACCCTGAAAATTTGATTTGTAGAGCGTTGCAAACATTCGAAAAGTGATTCGGATCAACAGTCATTATCAGGGGTGGGAAGAGGGATGGTGGTGGTGGATTAAAAAGCAAGGTGCGCTTTAGGCTCCCGTGCTAAAGTACGGGAGAGGGGGGGGGGGGGGGGGGGGGGGGCTTCCATGGGTCATTTCTGTTATTGTATAGTTTTTAAGAACTTAACAAATGCATTAAATGTCTTTATTCATTTGGCCTGACCCACCCAATTTTTTGCACCCTAAATAATTTAAACATCTTTCTGAACAGAAATTGCTATCTGGAAAGTTGAGAGAATTACGTCACCTGGAAGAAGAGGAAAGGAAACTGAATCATGGCAGTCCACTCTCAAGACTGGACTCATTTAGGCAATCTACGAGCAGCTCTTTATGTAGTGACTGGGACTCATACAGCCTCATTACCTCTGATGGGCTAGATCAAATTGTAGCCAACAAGTTTGTCTCTAGGGCAAAGTACAGTGATTTGAGTGAGTTGTCCAGCAATGGTTCTATCCCAAGTCAGTCCATCTGTGATGTTTCTATTGATAGCTCTGTTACAGATCCATCCATAAATTATGCTACTACCAAAATAGCAGAGAGTGATGCTTTAAATAAACCATTTCTGGAAACTGAGCAGCTGACCAGCAGAGGTGTGTATTCTAGAGGAGAGTGTGCTACTGAGGAAATAGATAGAGTAAATATTCAAGGAAAAGAACTTGAGAATGCTTCTAAAGATTCCATTCCCTGCCAAGATAATGTATCAGAGGCTTTGAATACTGAGCTTGGAATTGTAGCCGATACCTCCCAATGTCCTAACTGCTGTTTATCGAGTTGCTGTTGCTTTATTCATCTGTCTCCTGAGCCAATTTTAGATGACCAGTCATTATCTGAGACGAGGAAAAAAAGTGGTCTGTATCAACCTGACACTGCAATACTTGATTTTGATATCTCAAAGGATAAAATAGCAGTCAAAGCAGATCTTAATGATAGTGCTGTTGTATATGGTTGTGTTGAAAGTGCTGTATCAGGTGGTGTGGAAAGTGGGGATGTGTCCAGCTGTGTAAATTCTCTTTTAAATGTTGACCTGTGTCCACCAAAGAAGAAGCACATCACTGGACTAGACGCAAATAACATTGAAAGTGCTACAGTGACTGTGATAGTTAATTCTGCCGGCCAGAGGAAGGATATGAATTGGACCACTAATCAGACCCAAGCGGTATTGGAATCAAAAGGTGATGTCCACACAGTACCACTGAAGTCAGAACAAGAACCCATCGATAGTATCACAGTAGAAGATAGAAGTACTGACGACTCTCCTGTTCCCCCTAGTTTTGACATTAGACGTGACAAGCGACAAACCCGAATGTCTCCGCTCTACGGTAATACAACACCAACCCTTAATACCATCAATGAAATGCCTTCAGGTACAGTGACCAAGAGTTCAACATCAACCTGTGACAAAACCTCATCCATTCCGCCAGAAAATCTGGTAGATGGCATTTTGGTTAATGATACCACCCTTTCCACTCGGCTTTAACTGCACCGTCATGATTAGTAGCTTTTCCGAAATAACCAAAACACTTTAATTATTACCTGTACAGAATTATTTCGAACTAATTATTTCATGAATGAGTTTCGTGTAATTTGCCGTAACCTTATTGTAAAAATATGTTTGTGCTCATACTAAAGATGCATCTTTAGTTATTACGAAACGCAGAATATTTATTTTCTTTGCAATATCAATGTTTGTTAACAGATTTAATTTATTGTTTCACAAATTCCATGCTTGCGTGTCGTCAGTCAGGAACTTATTTGACAGCACCATATTTTTGTCCCGATTTGGTTGAAAGATGTCAATATAATTAATGTTATCAGTCATCTCATTTTAAAAAAATGATATTTCTTGAAGCATCAGTGATATGATCTTCACGTAGTTTGATTTCTATGGGATCCTGAACATACTCAGGGGCTATAGAAAATCACACCATTTTTGTCAAATCTGCTGTTAATTAATTGATACTTCTCCTGCTTCCCCATGCAAACTGAAGGCTGCCCTCCCATGCAATCGGTGAAAGAAATTCCTGTTATTGAAGAAATAGAATATGTGCAATATAATATTACCTGGTAGTCCATTAATTAATAAATCTTTACACAAATTTTTTTTTTTTTCTTGCTTTACTATTTTTTAAGGGAACAAAATAATTCAAAAGCATGTTTAAGTTCTTGTGATCAAGATTATTTTATTGATATTCTTTTATATCATGAACATGTGAAATCAACAACTATTCTCAAAACATATTTAATAATTCTACATACAAGGAAGAGGTTTTGGTGTTACCATTGTTGCTTTCTTTACCTCAAAACATTAAAAGAGGTGATTATTTAAATGAAGAAAAAAATTACTTTAAACATTATGAAGTGGGGGGGGGAGAATGGGGGTTTGTTCATGATTGTGAGTGTTTTACCCTCATCTCTGAATGTGTCTTAGCAATATGAAATGCTGGGGAATTACCCATTTATTTATTTTTTTAAATGTCAATTTTCAAACTCTTGCCCTTGGCTTCACCTTCCACTTGGACACATTGGAAAAGCTTCACCTTCTACTTGGACACATTGGATAGGCTTCACCTTCCACTGGGACACACTGGATAGGCTTCACTTTCCACTTGGACACATTGGATAGGCTTCACCCTCCACTGGGAAACATGGATAGTCTTTATTTATTATCACTGAACAAATAATGGTTTTGTACTTGAAGTATCTATCTTTTATTACTCCTGAAATCTTATATTTAATAATTTCCTTATAATTTTATTAGAGCAAGTTGAATAAGCTGATGGTTCATTTTTATTAATTTTTTCTTATATTTCTTATTTATTCAATAATTAATTTATTACATGGTCCTCAGTATTTGATGGAATGCCGGTTCACATTATTACAGGTATCTAAAGTCTTGATTTTCAAATAAACAATGTTGATCTCAAATCTCCAATGGTCATTAGATATGTTGTTGTTGTTGTTTTTTTTGGTTTGTTTTTGTTGCTTGTTTGTTGATTAAATGTTGACACTGTCGTATCTCGTTCTCAGCCTATACATATATTAACTAGCCCCATGGAGATACATAAATAGTCAAATGTCCCCCGTGACTTCACTTCAACTCTTAAATTGGAACTTTTGATTCCAGCCGTGCGGTGTTGTGATATATTGATTGTACCTTCTTAGGTCATGGAATGACTGTGGCGGTATAGCCAGTCATTCTCCACTGTAGGTACCGGTACATCTGAAGGTGACTGACCTAGTTGTATGGTGGCCCTGATACTGATACCGGTATTGGACTAAGCGCTGGCTTTCAATAATTTGTCACGCATGTCGCATGCCCCCCGGCAAATGGCCAAGTCGTGGAACTGCATGGTGTCTGCACTTTCGATACTAGGTTACATTCAGTGCCGCCTGTATGGTTAGTGCCGCCACTAGGGTTAGCGCTGCCTCATTTCCGTGAAAAAACAAACAAACCAAACGGAAAAGGCCACACCCACAAGTATAAAGAAAAAAAGTACCGGCACCTCTGCCCCCCCACCCCCCCCCCACACACACTTTTTGTTTTGTTTTGTAAATACGCCAATGTTGACATCACGTCATTCATAGGGGTGTCAGGCATTAAGTTTTTCCCCATTCCCTCACACCCCACAACTTTAAAAAAAAAAAAAAAAAATTACATAATCAAGCATTTGATATCACACAAGGATTGTTAGCTTAGAACACTAACAATATCAATAAGAAATAATCTTCGAATCAAATCATATCTTAAACACCAATCTATTTAAATTTAGGACCTGTAATAGATGTAAATTTTACCATATTTAAAGAAGTGCATTTATACCGGTATTTAAATACCATTCGGGAACATTTATTTGGCCACGGGTGATATGGCAACAACAAACAAACAAAAAAAATAGTAAGGAGCACCCACATCAGAAATGACTAATGTCAGCTGTTAGCTACACATCAAACACACGAGCGTTGACAGCGATAGCATTCACATTAGATACAGACACGGGCCCTGACATCCAAGCAGGTGCACACAAGTGAGGGTGGCATCGAATATTTAAGGGGACCAAAGTTGAGATGTGGAGGGAAAAAATATTTAAAAAAATAGACTGCAAAATAAAAGGGGTGGATTGGAGTAACATGCGCAGGGAAGCCTATCAGTCTGGTGGATTGGAGTTACATGCGCAGGGAAGCCTATCAGTCTGGTGGATTGGAGTAACATGCGCAGGGAAGCCTATCAGTCTGGTGGATTGGAGTAACATGCGCAGGGAAGCCTATCAGTCTGGTGGATTGGAGTAACATGCGCAGGGAAGCCTATCAGTCTGGTGGATTGGAGTTACATGCGCAGGGAAGCCTATCAGTCTGGTGGATTGGAGTAACATGCGCAGGGAAGCCTATCAGTCTGGTGGATTGGAGTTACATGCGCAGGGAAGCCTATCAGTCTGGTGGATTGGAGTTACATGCGCAGGGAAGCCTATCAGTCTGGTGGATTGGAGTTACATGCGCAGGGAAGCCTATCAGTCTGGTGGATTGGAGTAACATGCGCAGGGAAGCCTATCAGTCTGGTGGATTGGAGTAACATGCGCAGGGAAGCCTATCAGTCTGGTGGATTGGAGTTACATGCGCAGGGAAGCCTATCAGTCTGGTGGATTGGAGTAACATGCGCAGGGAAGCCTATCAGTCTGGTGGATTGGAGTAACATGCGCAGGGAAGCCTATCAGTCTGGTGGATTGGAGTAACATGCGCAGGGAAGCCTATCAGTCTGGTGGATTGGAGTTACATGCGCAACGAAACCCAGACAAGCTAGAGAGAAATAAAAGCAATACCAGCACTCCGGGGGGATGGGACTCGTTAACCTTGGATGGCAATTCCTCTAAGAGAAGGGGAGCTCTGAATTCAAACTCGGTGGTAAAAATTCCGGCAACTCCTGCAACACTCCTGGTGCCAAGCTGTATCATCCACACCAGACGTTCCCTTGGGGTTATCCAGATGCGTGGGGAGTGGTGATTTGATGTCTAGGGCACCAGCTTTCTCTTCTTACAAAAACCCCAGGCTTTGTGGTTTCGTCCTGCGAAGTCTACGCCATCCATTGTCACATTGTGACGGACAGTGGAAAAAAAAAGGGGGGGGGGGCGGACTTCTTAGATAAGAAAGCTACCACTTACAGATCTGAGCGTCAAGACAGAAATGGGAACTATTTCTTTCAGACAATTAGCTCCGGGGGAAGGATATTTCAGATGTTCGGGTGTGCAGGGGCGTAGAAAGGGTGGGCGGATCGGCAGCCCACCGTGAGACCTTTTTTTTTTTTTAATGCATGGACAGGAGCCATTTTTGGCCTAATGCAAAGGTCTTAACCGTGGAAAGGGCGGCACAAATCTTGGCCCGCCCAGGGTGGCACTTATCCTAGCTATGCATCTTGACGACCAGGATCACCGATACATCCACCCCATTCGCCAAAATAAACTAAAGTAATTTTAGTTGAAGGTAAACTTTAAGTCCAAATTTCGTTTTATCCTTGAAACTATATAGCCCTATTATATAAGATAAGATAAGACTCTTTTATTGATCCAAACAAATGGAAATGTTTTATGACTTCATCATACATTACAGCACATAAATAAAACAATTTGAACACAAGACATTTATAATAAATTATTTCAAACAGCCATTCTGTGAGCTCTCTTAGCCAAATCGGGGACTTATTAGTTCTCATTAAGATGTGTGACTTCAGAGGGAGCACGCTGGTAAATTCGTACAGATTGGGGAACAAAAGAATTTTTATTTCTTTCATTCCTCCTAAGTATCTGTGATGTAGAGGGTGGGATGTATCATCCAAAATGTGTTAAATTTTACAATAACATCTTTCTTCAAATAAACAGAAAATAATATATACATTTTCTTTACAGAAAATCATCTTAATTGATAACACCCGGTGATGATTTTTTTAAAGGTGTCAACACTGTCATTTTGAGTAATGTAGGCGCCGATGGCCACCGAGCACAAATTAGGAGGTGCCCGGGGAGGGGTCGATAAATTCAAAATAACGGGGTGCAGTTTGGCCTATACCTGATAATCGGTGTTTCTTTCAGAAAATTATATACAAATCACGCAATAGTTATACTGACATTCAATCAGTCCAAAAATAGCTTATTTAAATCTCTAAAACACGAACCTGTGACGATTTTAATGTGAGGTTGAAATTTTTGTGTGTATTGTAGTACATTTTTTGACTTGGTGGGGGTAAACATTCTGCCCAACTAGCGTGAAGCCAATTAATGATGCATTGTTTCTTGGACTATTCAAGTGCGTGTTGTGGCGTACTTTTTTCGGCTACGCTAATGGTTCATAATTTTTTTTATTCTCGGCGCCCTTGGCGCAAAACAATGTGCACTCTCTACCTCCGGACTTAAGGTGAAACCGAACGGGCGGGGGGTTAAAACAAAACTCAATAGACCCCCCCACCCCCAAAATCAACAAAAAAAAAACAAAATACATAAATACAAAAAATTAAAAAAGCAATCTTCTAGGACAGTGGTCGGAAAATCGCGGCTCTTTAGCAACCTGAATGCGGCTCGGCCAGTCGGCCACAAATCGGTTTTGACTCCGAAAAACATGGTTCTTGAAAGGTTCTCGAATAGAAATTTGGCTCTCAAAAATTTTTAATCGTCCTCCTGCTGATTGTTGGCTCTTTTGACTAATGAGTTTGCCGACCACTGCTGTAGGACCATAGGTTTTCAAAGTTATGCCTATTCTTCTTCTCCTGGTTCTGGTAATGTTTCGTTGCTGCATCCATGTACTGGCATATTTGCAACGGTTGGGGATATGATGTTGCTATTCTAACAGCCCCTAGCTGATGCCAGGGCAGCCTTGGAGCTTTCGACCGATGTCGAATTCACAGTGGCATCGTTCAGGTGGTTCCATGCTATTATTGTGCTTGGGAAGAAAGATTGTTGATATTGCACTGTGTTGCACTGTGGCACTTTGAAGCATTTGCTATTGTTTCTGGTGTAATTGTTTATGAGAATGTCAGTGGTGAAGTTAGTGTTCAGTGAGCTTTTTGATCTGATCAGTCTACCCGGCTTCTGTGGGGTGAGGTATGTGCCTGCTGGGATGGCCGGCACCAGTCCCATGATCAATTTATATAAGAATATCAGGCGGAGTCCTTCTCGTTTGTCTTTAAGGGGGAGGGGGGTGTCAAATCTTTTTAAGAAGCCAGTGATGAAGCCAGGAGTTGTGGATTTGTAATCTCAAGCGATAAAACGCACCGCTTTACGTTGAATTCCCTCCATCGTGTCCACGTCTTGCTTAAGGTGTGGGTCCCAGATGATTGCACCATTTGCACCATATTCCAGTAGTGGATGGACGAGTGCGAGGTTGGCATTTCGTTTGCAGGAAGTTGGGCAGTGGCGCAGATTTCTTCGGAGGAAACCTAGGTTGGAGTTGGCTTTTTTTTTTAAAATTTGTTTACATGGGGTGAACATTTTAGGTTATTTGAGAAGAGAATTCCAAGGTATGGACTATTGAATACTTGTTGGAGGATTGTCTCGTTTAGTGAGGAAATATGAGTTGTTGTTTTTTTCTCGAGGTTGTCATAGTGTAGCATTTGGTTTCTTTAAATTTCATGCTCCATTTTTCCGTCCAATTCATAAGGCACTTCAAATCTGTTTGGAGGAGGTTGTGGTCATCATAGCTGTTTCTCTCTCTGTAGATAAGACAGTCGTCAGCGAACAGCCGCACTTGAGAATTTACTGTACCGGGTAGGTAGTTTATGTGAAAGAGGAAGAGAAGGGGGCCCTGCACTGTGCCCTGTGGAACTCCTGAGTCTACAATGGCTTTCCTTGATTGGACGCCGTCCACTACTACTTGCATGGTACGTTGTGTTAGGAATTTTGAGAGACAGGAGTGAAGGTTGCCTGTAATGCCGTAGTGGTGGAGCTTATGCAGAAGAATGCTGCGTGGAACAGTGTCGAAAGCCTTGGAGAAGTTGAGAATTGCCATGTCGACCTGGGTGCCTTTGTCATAGGAGGCTAGGAGGTCATTGGTGGTGATGATTAATTGAGTTTCACGACAAGGTAGTTTGCATTTTTTCCGCGGTGCTGAGTCACGATCCGGCATTTGTGAAGCGTTAGTCTGGCCCAACTCTGATGTTTGATGATAATGTAGCTTCTCGAATAGTATGTTTTATTCTTAGTTTTGAAGTGATGATTCAATGCTTAAAAATAGGCCATTAATTCTATGAGTTAGCCCATCTCCCTGAAACTTATTCTTAATTTTTGTTTCTTAAAAAAGGGAAGTAATTTTATTTCTTGCCCTGGGTGCCATATTTCATTACTAATACGCCCCTGCGTGTTCCATATATCTCTGACCTTGATACAATTTTCTATAGGATCCATGAGTTAATCTTCTCCAAATACATCCAGCCCAAAATTGTAAATCCAGTCCAAATAACTAAAATTCGGATTTTCCGTTTCCGGTTTCGCTTATAATGTTTTTATTTGGCAATCGAATTATACTCATTATTCTAATAATTCTAAAGACTTAAATTTAACCAATTTATTAATGACAAATGTACTTATAACTCTGCTATGATTTAAATATGACATTATATTCTTGGAAGAACTCGTCCACCAAAAAAAAAAGTGGTTTGTAACTATCCCTGATATCGTGACTGATTTTTTTTTATTTTTACGACTGTCGACTGATTCTTTTATTATTATTTCTTTATTAATCTTTTTACTTAAATTATGATCTTACACTTTAGACCGTCTTACTCATCTGTCATCTCATGCATAAAGTAATTTAATTGACTTAATTTTATTTAAGCTTACACTTAGTTTCTTAGTAAGGTTTGCTACCCTTGCCTTAGTCATTAGTCTTAAAATTAAAACTGGACCCTAAGTCCTAAGCCTAAGGCGCCTAAGCCTAAATTCACTAAATGACAAATCCTAAAAATAAATATTTTTATTTTAATTGCTGATTGATTTGTAAAATAAATAATAGTCTATAGTTTATAGTCTGCCAAGTCACTACATTGTTTACGATGCTAGTCTGAAACTGGAGCAGTGCTGAATGAAGGCCTGTAAACTTTAGGTTGGGGGGGGGGGGGCTTTGCCGGCTTTGGCTTTATTAAGTTTTGGCTTTTTAACCAGTTGAAATTGTTCATCCCCAGTGGAGTTCCTAGAGGGTTGAAGAATGGGTGACTTCCTGAATGGCATTTTTGGATTTATTAGTCACTTTTGATATCCCCCTGGGACACCTGAAAATCAGGTTTCGCAAATTCATAGTCTAAATGGCAACCTCCTCTACAAGGGTATTATTTTGCCCTTTTTATAACCAATTATTAGCATAAAAATACATTTACACCCATCTATTAATTAAAGCAGACATCTTGAATGTTCAATTTAGAATTTAGTTGAATTTTTTTTCGAGGTTAAAGCTATGATAATTGAAATTAAAAATAGCTAAACTGAACTCATCAATAGCTTTTTTTTTTTTAAACTGCTCAGTTATTTAAAAAAACAAAAAAATTTGTAAATTTACTACTAATATGTCATCTATAACTTTTGCAAAAGTCATGAGTGTAGACCATCACCTAAGATAATATAAGATACGATTCTTTTTTGATCCAACAAATGGATTTTTTTTTTATTACATTGTACACATTCATTTTCAGCACAAAAATAAATACATATTTAAACCAAGACAACATTTTACAATTATAAATTATAAACATTTAAATACCAGACATCTAAATTATTTATCGAGCGTAGAAATCAGCCATAAATGAACACCTTTAGTAAAAATAATGACTAAATTAATGATCATTTAGATTTGGTAACTGATGGGGGAGCATGTTATTAAATTCGTAAAGACTGGGGAACAAAATAATTTTTATATTTTTTGGTAATAACTTTAAGAGAAAGAATTTGCCCTAATTGATCTGATCTTAGTTATCTGTGATAAAGTGGGTGGGATGTATCATCCAAGATATTTAGTTTTAGAACAGCCCTTTTTAAGTGAAGGATGTTAAGTATGTGTGATGTTCCAAGCTTTCTTGATTATTCTATTTAATCTGTGTTTGATGTCAGAGGATGAATTCCCAAACCAGCAGGTTGTACAAAAGTTTAGTAGGCTTCTAATTTGTTGCACTGTAGAATAAGTTAATAGGTAAAGGGGTCAAAAACAAAAGGTCACTATTTTAGGCTATGTAATTTGGCATCATTGCGATATTTGTTGGGAGATTACGTATTAAAGATAGCGACCGTGGGGTAGTAATGACCTCATTAAAATGGTTATCAAGCTAAATGGGAAGGATAACTAATAATAAATCATGTTAAAAATAAAAAATGTTTTATAACATAAATAATTATTACTGACTTATCAAATATCAGTGTTTTTAATTTGAGGATAGGTTGCCATGGGATGGGTAACCACTTGTCTTTGACTTAGATAGGCCTATTACACTAATCTTATTATAGTATTATATATTTAAAAATTAACTAAAGTCACCAAATTATGCTGAGTTCAATAGCACAAAATATTTTTTTTTGGCGGTGTGAATGGGGTATAAATTTAATATCAATGTCTCCAAACCCGATTAAATTACATATTTATCTTTGGAATGTATTTGACTTAAAAAAAAGTAACCATATTCTTTAAATATACAGAAAAATATGTTGAACTATTTTATTATGTATAAAATGGGTTATCCTGGTGGTGTTTTTATTAATGGTTATTACAAACTTAATAAAATATTTTTGTGTGGGAGGGATGGGGCTGAGATTTTCAGATTTTGCCCCAGGCTTCATAAGATAGACGACAGTATTTTATAACTATAGCAATATCTCAAAGCCCAACTATGTTGCACACAGGAAATGGTATAAAGATATTTTACAAAGTAATGCAATAATGTGCTCAACCTTCTTCAGATACCGGTAACACATTTCAGGGCAAGGAAAGACAGTATGTACATTTCTATGTGGATAACTATAACTTTAAATCCAATGATGTTACAGTTGTTAAAAATAAGTTCTATATTTTCTTTTAAAATAAATAAATATGCGTTATACCAATGATGGAAAATACAGTTCAGTGGTGTTGACGCATTGTGGGGACATTTACATAAGTATACCCATTCCGTAAACACAATGAAGTTAGAAAGAGGAAAAGGGATACAATTTTCTTTAAAAATTATGGACTCAAGATTTTTTCCAAAGAGGATAACTTTTTAAATTTCTTGAAAATACAGTTCATGGGCGTAAATAACAATGGGTTAAGATTTTCTGTGAAAATAAGAAAATATTTGTTTTTCCTTTTTGTGCAAAATACTGTGGAAAAGTGTGGGTAAATTTTTATGAGCTTAATAGTATTTCTTTAAATATTAAAGATATTTTTATTTCAGTTCAAAATCATTATTTACATGTTGCTTTTTTTTTTACAGGTAACATATTGCAATAGCAACTTGCTGACTTTACTGTTTTGGCTGGACTGTAAATAAAGTCTTCATCAATGGTAAAATAAAATGTATTACTCTTTATGTAAACAAAATAATGTGTGAGTTATTACACAAAATATTTTCAAATAAGATTATTTGTAGGGAAATCGGAGATATACTAATTTTTTAAAGCAAGAATATCTAAACCCCCCCTCCCCTCCTCCATTTTCTTAATTTTTAAATCCTTCAGAGGGCTAATTGATACACTTCCCATCTACCTATCGAGCTAAAACTTAGCACATAGACTCGTTGTCAATGACAACACATTCTGTCAAGTTTTCAGCCCCACCCTCCTACCCCCAAAAATCAGTCTTTCAATTTTCAAGGGAAAGATGAAGGAAATACGATGACATGGATGTCATGAAATAAAATTCCCAATATCTGCGCTAAATGAGATTCTTTTAAAATTAATATCGCAGATTCGTTTGGACGTAATATTTTCTTTTTTTTTTCTCAAATACTTGGTGAAATAAATATGTGGTGTAAAAGCAGTTGGGTCATTGGAATATTAATATAGTACAGTTTTGGGGGAGGGGGGGGGGGAGGGGGTGTTATAAAAATGTGCAGTTGTGATCCTGGGGGGGAGCACTAATTGGGATTCTCATAGAGTGAGTTAGTATGTATGTTTTTTTTTCTCAAATACTTGGTGAAATAAATATGTGGTGTAAAAGCAGTTGGGTCATTGGAATATTAATATAGTACAGTTTTGGGGGAGGGGGGGGGGGAGTGGGTGTTATAAAAATGTGCAGTTGTGATCCTGGGGGGGAGCACTAATTGGGATTCTCATAGAGTGAGTTAGTATGTATGTTTTGTCACATGTTCAGCCCCTTCCCCCTATTGCTGGATATTACATTTTATAAAGGTTTTGTACGAAAAACGATGTTTTTAGGGGTTGTTCAATTTAACATGCCTAATGCTATAGTATCATCTAAAAATTGAACTATATGTTAGTTTGTTACTTAAGTGCATTAATTCATAAAATGCATTAATTCATAATCAGAGTTTTTTCACATATATTTAAGGGTGAGGAGGAGGAGGATAAGGGATGATACTTAAGGTAGTTGTTTCCAGCTCCTAGATATTTATGAAAATATAAGGTGATCGCTTGGTGGCTGGGTGGCCGAATGGTCTCCATGAAGCTGGTGGTCTGGAGTTCAATCCCCACCAAAGCCAAGACAACCAAAAAATATCCCAAGCACACCGGGTGGATAGGACTCGTAAGCCTTGAATGGCAACTCATCTAAGAGAAGGCAACTCTGAATTCAAACCAGGTGCTAGAATGATCACTAAATTGATCGTGGGCCCTCAAATATAGGAAGAATTTTTTTTTCTTTTTTTAAATTGTGATATTTTATTTCATACACTAATTACTATGTAGGCCAATACTCTAGTTAAATAAATTTTACTTTGCCCGTTTCAAATAATAGAATGATGTTTAATATTTCAGTCAGCGTAAAAGCTCATTATGACTAAAAATAATTTGACTTTAAACAAATAGTAAAGCACTAAAGATATTTGTGGGGCCTAGAGGTAGAATAATGGGGGGGGGGGGGCGGGGCGGCAGGGTGTTTAATATTATGGGGTTTCCAAAAGAAAGGGGAATACGAATAAGTGCTTCTTACCGACATAATAAACAAGCCACAATACCAAGTTCAATGTACCCATGATTGCTGCCTCCATTTTATATTTCTCTTAATTTACTACGACTTTTGGCATTGCTTTGCACCGTTTTGAGAATCGTCTTGTCTGGTTGTTAAGAATTTTAGAAATGGCAAGTATGGGGTTTGCTTTAGTTAAAGAATGTCAAATCGACGTTATCGCTTTGTCGGATGATGGTCAACATTTGCATTACATTTACTGACTACATTAACTGAGAAATGTCTGTTTTTTAAGAATTTTAGTAGTATCAAAAGAAAATTATCGGGTTTAGTTAATGAATGTCAACTTGACGGTAAGAATTTGCTGGATGATGTCAACATTTTTATTTTACATTTACTTTAAATTCACGGGGATAAATTAACTATGTAATCTAAGTGTCAATCAAATGCTGCACTAGAATTAGTTTTATGGATAATGAATTTAAACACGTTATTGCTGTTACTTGTAGATGATCACTCTCAAAATGAAGCAAGCTAAGAAAAATCAAGAGCAGACGGAAGCTGGGACAAAACGGTTATCCATCAGAGATAAACTGTTAATCAAAGGTGAGATTTATTGTTGTTGTTGTTCGTCCGTCGAAATCGACTAGGATCATCGAGTCATGTGGGTTAAGGTGAGCTCGTAGGTGGTTTGCCAGTTCAATCCATGCTGGGAATACTCTCTGGCATCTCGGGCAGGGGATAGTTGCTGCAGTCGGTGATCTACTGTTGATCTTTCGGGCCAGCCTACATGTCTCAGCTGTGGTTATCCTACTGGTTTCATGAGATTTAGCGCCCTTCTTGACAACTGTTCTCCACCTGGTTTTGTCCTGGGCTGCCTGCACCCATTTAGTAGGGTTGATGCTGAAGGCCTTTAGTGCAGCTTTCAGTGAGATCGATAGCCTTACAAGGACAAAAACGGAAATATTAATCTTGTATTAATTAATGCCTCAATGGGGCAATGGAGTCTTATCCCGATTAAACAAAAATTTATTATAAAAATATTCCTTAAAAAATTTTGATGTGAGTTTGTGTAAAGCAGAATTCGTTTTAGTTGTTTGGGATAGGCATTGTTTAAACAATTTTGCTTGAGACTTTTGAAAGAAGATTGAAGAATCCTCAGTGATCTTCTGAAACAGAAATGGACATTGTTATTTTAAATGATTTATTGTTGAATAAAAGCAGTCTCAAACTGGTGGTCTGCATGGGTGGCTTCTCCTGCAGTCTGAAACTGGTGGTCTGCATGGGTTGCTTCTCCTGCAGTCTGAAACTGGTGGTCTGCATGGGTTGCTTCTCCTGCAGTCTGAACCTGGTGATCTGCATGGGTTGCTTCTTCTGCAGTCTGGAACTGGTGGTCTGCATGGGTGGCTTGTCCTGCAGTCTGAAACTGGTGGTCTGCATGGGTGGCTTCTCCTGCAGTCTGAAAATGGTGGTCTGCATGGGTGGCATCTTTGGGTTGCTTCTTCTGCAGTCTGGAACTGGTGGTCTGCATGGGTGGCTTGTCCTGCAGTCTGAAACTGGTGGTCTGCATGGGTGGCTTCTCCTGCAGTCTGAAACTGGTGGTCTGCATGGGTGGCTTCTCCTGTAGTCTGAAACTGGTGGTCTGCATGGGTGGGTTCTCCTGCAGTCTGAAACTGGTGGTCTGCATGGGTGGCTTCTCCTGCAGTCTGAAACTAGATATTGTAGTTAAACACCATGCTTTATTAGGATAATACAGATAGGATCATGTTTGCCCCATCATGGGTGGCGGGGGAGGTCATGGTGATCTGCAGTAGGAAATCCACTCGTTACTCCATAAGATCAAATTAATGGGAGCTATTCCTTAGGCGTTCCTGGGGTAACCGGATCGTTCGCGGCTAGGGCGAAACATCCCTGGGGAGCTGCCTCGCAGCACCTTCCCTCTTTAAAAGGAGTGGAGCACCCAGGAGATGGAGTACCCAGGAGATGGAGTACCCAGGAGATGGAGTACCCAGGAGATGGAGTACCCAGGAGATGGAGTACCCAGAGGTGGGGGTCCATAAGAGCTTCGGCTAGTGTTGCTGATTGATTCCATGTATAAGATATTCATTAGGATAATACCAAGCTTTGTTACATCCCTTGGGGCCATTGAATCATGCTCATTCTGCCCTTTATTTTAGTTTGACACATCAATTTAAAACATTGTCAATAAATATGGATGACATTTTAGAGATAATTTTTCCTCTCTGAAATGGTTTAGAATTGTAATGATGGGGCATTAGCTTGCCAAGAGAATTTACAGAGGATAAATTACTTAACAAAATTTAATTATTTGTTTTGTAGAAGTCCAGGAGATGGAGGAAAACCTGCCCACTACCTGTGAAGTGACCTTTAATGACCCCAGCTGTCTACACCAGTTTTCATTGACTGTCACACCAGATACAGGATTTTGGCAGGGAGGAAGATTTCGATTCTCAGTGTCTGTGCCTGATGAATATAATATTGTGGTATGGAAAATAGGCTGTAATAAGGGAATTGATGTTCAGAGCTGGAAATATTTTAACCCTATAAACTAAGTTGTTACTACTAATTAGATAATCTAGGTATTGAAAACTGTTGGTCAAGTAATGTCACCATGGGTCAAGGACACTTCTTACTTTCTGAAACAACACCAACATCCCACATGATCCATACAGCCCTTATACCCCATACAGCCATAGCAAGACCATCACTTCATTGACTATTAAAACTGTGATGTCAAATAAACCTCACTGACACTCTTGAAATCACTGCAAGTTAATTTTGTGTCTGAATTCAACAAAATCTTTCTCCCAAAGCCTCCTAAAGTTGTCTGCAACACAAAGCTCTATCATCCCAACATCACTGAGGTCGGTGAAGTGTGTCTAAGTCTGCTGCGACAAAGCTCATATGACAGCATGGGTAATTAATTCTTACAGTTCATTCATGTATATTAACTATTACTTTTCCTTATAATTTATATACACAATTATTAAAAGTAAACTTAGAAAATAAAACAGTAATAAAAAAAAACAACTGTTTATATTACAGTAAAATATGACCTATTGTGCATTGAAAGTCAACGTTGGAGGAACTATGAGAAAAGTTATTTCAGTACAAATAAGCTTATAAGCCACCGGTGGGCAAACCCTGTTTTGAATGGCTCGTGCTCCCTTTAAAATAATAAAAATAAATACCGGTAAATAAAAACTCATAAAATGTATGAGAAAAAAAAAATTGTAATTTAAATTTTTGATTGCATATGTCACTCCTATATAGGTTTTTCTAGGGGATCGACATTTTCTTCTTGTTGTGGAGTTACGTTTTTCAGGATGTTCAGTGAGGTTGAAATTTTTGTGATGAACACTAACAATTATTTCTGTCTTTTATTGATTGAGTACTGGTGCATTCTATTTTTTTTTTTGGACAATAAATTATTCAATTGTACTGGAATTTTTACAGAATATAATTAATTGATATTATTTATATACGCAAAATATAGTAAATCACTCCCTATAATAATGGTGAACCCCCCCGTTTTTTTTTTCCCCACCATTTATGGCTCCCGTGCCCCTGTTACCTCTTGAATATGGCTTGCAGCTACAAAAGTGTCCCCAACCCTGGTATTAGCTATCTCTCAAATAAACAGATGAAAATAACAATTTTCTCAGATTCTTTGAACTCTTTCAATGGCAAAAGATATTTTAATTTTTGTTGGTAAATGATATGAGAAATTTAGTGCCAATTTTTGCAGATTAGACAAGCATTAAAGGAGACCTTATAATCTGTATTATTAAGCTGAAAGTCAGGACGAGCTATAATTTTTTTAATTTTATGGAAGTTCTAGGTGAGCAGAACTGTTGCAGTAGTTTTTTTTACACTTTATCACTGGTTCTCTTTTCATTTTCTGGCAGCAACCCTTAATCTATAGTTTATAAGGTCAATTCAACTTGTTCTTTGCTTAAAAGACCCTTTTATTTCTTTATATTTCTCTCATTTCTACTATATTCAAAATACTAATGAGGAATATATAGTTTAATGTGTTTCGAAAAGTGATATGCTAATTTGAAGAGTGATAATCAGATATCGGGCAGCCTCATGGTTCCAGTGATGCTAGAGAGGACGGAATTTACCATGGGCATCATGGTATGGCTTAAAGTGCACTTTAAGAGGGGACAGCACTATTGCAAGAAAACTGATAAGTAAAACAATCACTGGCACTAGAGCCTGATCAGACAGGTCAGAACTGAGAATTGTCGAACCCACAGCTATTCCATAGATTACACCACAGTAGAGATCCACTGCCACTGTTCACAAATCACTGGCACTAGAGCCTGATCAGACAGGTCAGAAGTGAGTACTGTTGAACCCACAGCTATTCCATAGATTACACCTCAGTAGAGATCTACTGCCATTGTTCACAAAGCGCTGGAGCCAGATAAGACCAGGAGACAAAAGACATTTAAAGATTATTATGTAAAAGCAAGAAAATGATTGATAAATAAAATGAGGTGGATTACCGTTTCAGATAAGGATTGTTTGTAAAGATAAATAGATACTGTCGATTGAACTTTGGATTGTAAGTAAATAAACTACATGAAGATTTTTTGTGTATACTTTTGAAATGTTATTCAAATAAATATTTTTCTGTTTTTTTTTAAATTTTCAGGCTGGGCGCCTACACGTAAACTAAAGGATGTCATATGGGGTCTAAACTCATTATTTACAGTATGTTATTTTTTTTCTTTTTGTTCAATATTTACTTCATCTTTTGAATACCCTAGCGCTAAAATTACTTCTAAGTCAATTTTTGATTGAAATCAATCTAAACTGTGACCTTTTCTTACCCAGTTTAGCCAAGTGTACTGCATAAATTAGAACATATTAATATATATCTAAGTCCCTTATTTAAACAAGCCGAAAAAAAGAAAGATCAAAATCAAAGGCATAAAGAAAAAGAATAATATTTAAACTGGAATATCTCAAAATATGTGTATGGGTATTTTTGTGACATAAGTACTTTTAGCACTACAGACTTCAATTGTTCTGCCAGTCAAGTAGTTACATACTATGTTATTAAAAATTTTCTTCTTCTTTCCATAATGTTGGATGACAATGATTGTACATTGATAACAAATATGAGAAAACTTGTTAGTGGTAATGAAGAACATGAACATTTAAATGATCTGAGTACGCTTATTCCATGTTGGAATAATACTATAAAAAGACATGAAAATAAATTATAACCAATGCCAGTCATGGTTGACTGCTGATCAAACTGTATGACCCCCAGACACCACCTTGGCATTTTTTATGACTCAGGCGCATGCAGATATTTTTAAAACAAAGCTCAAATTAAATAAACTAATGAGAGAAGAGATGTGAACTTTTTAAAGCATTCAAAAATCAAGTGATTCTTTAAATTTCCTACTGCACAATTCTTTGGGAATAATTCTTTTATATTGATATTAGGACCATCTAGCTCAGGGGTTCTCAACCTTCCTAATATTGCGGCCCTTTAATACAGTCCCTCAAGTTGTGGCGACCCCCAACCACATTCATTGCTACATCATAACTGTAGAGTATATGTGTTTTCTGATGGTCTTAGGCGACCCCTGTGAAAGGGTCATTCAAACACAAAAGGGGACGTGACCCACAAGTTGTGTACCGCTGATCTACTTGGATAAATAAAGTATCTATTATTTTATATCAGGGCTACGAAGTTGGAGAAAAAAATTATTTATTATTGATCATTAAATAAAATAATCTATTATTGATTATTTATTGATACCATGACTATGGATTTTGACTTACGAATTGTTACTGCTTTCAGGATCTCTTGAATTTTGATGACCCACTTAATGTAGAGGCAGCTGAGCATTATGCCAGGGACAAGGTCAGATTTCACTGCCCAATAGTGTTTTAATGGGAACATTTTGGAAAAAGTGCCCATAGCACTCTGCTCTAAAAATTTTTTTTAAAAAATGTTTGATGTCAATTTTCAAAAACTGTTTTTTTCAAAACATGTTAAAATTGGTGACTTGAGCATTACCAATTTGTTAAAATTGGTGACTTGAGCATTACCAATTTCTTAAAGCTATAAGTTGTCAGTCACTTTATTCATCAATTACTGTTAAACTTTACAACAGTTGAAATATGTTCATTTAAAAAAAAATAAATAATAAATAAGCATTATCATAGCTTTTATTGATAAAACAAATTCCCTTTGCAACTAGTTTGTAATTAGTTCTTCTTGTGTTTATTATCTTCATTCCAGGAATCATTCAAGGTCAAGGTGAAAGAATTCGTCCAGCTCCATGCCAAAAGATGATACTTGATTTCATTGTTTAATATGTACATTCTGAATAACATTTTTTTTTTCTGTCTACAAATGCAAAAATGGTGCCTGTGGCTTGAAATCTACCGATTACATGTGAAAGTAAAAGTATTTCCTTTTTTCTTAGCTCAACTCCTTAAAATAATATTAGTGAGACTCATGTGTAAGATTTTTTAATAAGCTTTTGTTTTAAACCATGTTTTTTTTTTTTTTTGCAATTGTGAAATAAATATTCATAATAATAATATGAATATTTTTTTTTTTTTTAATTTTTTTTTTCATTTTTTGATTAGATTGGCTAAAAATTTTTTTAATAAGCTTTTGTTTTAAACCTTTTTTTTTTTTTTTTTTGCAATTGTGAAATAAATATTCATAATAATAATATGAATATTTTTTTTTTGTATAATGTGTTGTTTCATTATTTGACTAGATTGGCTAAAAAATAAAATTGATAACTGTATAAAATATTGGAACATTTTAAAAACTTAATTTCGTTTAAAATGTAATTACTTTTTGTCCTCATTTGAAAAAGGTTAATATTAATTTCAAAAACATACTTTTTCTGTTTCAGCTCTTCTCAAAATTAGTTGTTTCCTGACCCCAAAATGTTTTTCATACATTATTATTCTAAAAAATTAAGTATTTAAAGTGCTTAGTTAGTTCAGAAAGTTTATAGTTTGATCCGCCTCAAGGATCTGTGACACAGTGGGCATATGACACAATTATATTTCCAAATATTTTTTTAAATAGCTTTTGAAGTCTCTAACTCCACTTTAGCATGCCCCAAGTCTACATCTTGTAGATTTCTTTCTATAATCATTATTAGATAACTTGAGCAAAACCCTGGCAGGCAGGCAACCAATATCCCCTTTGCATTGGTCACTTCACACACAACCTACTTAGTCAAAATGACCAACCAGCCTCACACTAGCCTACAAGCCCACCTAAACTTACATGGCCAACTCACCCCCATATGACCAACTTAAACAACATGATCACTCTAATCCCAACAAACATCTTATCGAGATAAGATGGGATTAAAGTGACCGACTTTCTCACACATGGACAACTTACATCACATGACGAGCTTGGCATCTCCCATATGGCAACTGTGTATGTGATGGTCACATGACTGTTATACGCCAGACGACAAATATACTAAACACCAAATAAGGAATCAGAGCTCTCTTTTTTGTCGCCTTAAATACTGGTAGTATAAGTAGAGTAATAAAAGAAAAACAAATTCATCTCTGATTAAAAGACAAAATGGAAATGTGAGACGTTTTGGTTAATGACTTCATCATTATAACAAAAACACAAACTGCTTGACTCCCAGACACTCCTGCAAAGTTTCCTTAATACCACATTTTTTTGGGAAATTCTGTTTTTTGACTTGATTATCAATTGTTCATGATGGGTCTGCAAACTTTTTTAGCCATTACCCTAAAATATATTTTGTACGCAGAGTTTGCACTGATTTGAAAGGCAGAAAAATCATATAATATTTAAATTAAAAAGGATTTATTGAATCTATTTATGTGGAGCATAAATTGTAAATATAAAAGTACAAAATAAATTGGATAAAATAAATGAATGAAATCTTCATTTGAGAAAAAAAATATTTCTCTGAAAAAATGTTTACATCAAATTTTGAAGAGATGATGTTTCATTTTGATTCATTGACATTATAATTTGTACTTTTTTAATAAGAAAAATTTGGATACGGTCTTTGGGGTTGATTTATATGCTTTGTTTTTATATTAATTTAAGTAAGTGAAAATCCTTGTTGGCCAGGGTAGGTTGTTGCAAACGGCAGCAAATTTTCGACTGCCTCCTCAATTTTGAAAACCTTTGCATCTCTTGACGTTTTGAACATAAGCAGTAGCGTCACTAGGAGTGCGTGAATCGGACTTCACCCGGGACATCATCACAGGGCTTGGACACTCTCACAGAGGGTAGACACCCTGACAGGGTTGACACCAAATAAAAATGAGTAAATTTGAAAGAGCTTGTTTAAGTAGGTTACTTAACACATCTAAATTTAATACAAGAGCAGGGTGACTCGGAGGTGATCCATAGAGAAGTCTTGATGTTGTGACACCCTGAGTTGAACGCACTAAGTGGAACCAATTCTAGTGATGCAACTGAGCATAAAATAATATAGACTACTAGGCAAAAATGAAAGATGAGATGTGAGCCCCAGCTGCTGAGCCACTAGAAACTTGAGTGATTAGGTGCGTTTAGCTAATAAACATGCCATCTGCAGCATTGCCAGAAAAAAGTTATTGCTTACCAAAATACTGTTTAAAATATTTGTGTATGTCTATTAAGCCCTAATTACACCCACCCCCCCCCCCAAGATTCCAATTTTTACCCCATTTGGGGGTTATACAACCAGTTAGGCCACCACTGGATTATGACATAGAGAGAGTGGTGCCTATGTGCGAAAAAGAATGTAAACTCATCACACAGTTCCCATGGAGGTCAATATATTGCAGGCATTTTAATAGAAACTTTGAAAATAAAAACAATCGAAGGAAATAATGACAATGGTTTTAATTTTTTTAGCCTGTTTATTATGTCTTTTTATCTTTAATAATTTCCTTAAAGACCTCCACCCAAAGGTAAAGATAATAAGGCCTATAAATATAATAAATAAAATGAGTAAAACAGAGTAGGGTTAAACCTGAAAAAATAAACGCAACAAAACAGCGAACGTGTCGGCAGAAAGCCTTCGTCAGCGAACAAAACAACAGAACAAAACGGTATAAAAATAAGAAATAGCACTTAGCTGGTAAGTAGTATCTGTGGGCAACAATAGAAGTGTCAAATATAATAGTACTATAATATCCTATTTTTTTACATCTATATAAGCTGTTATATTTTTTTGTTTATTTTTTTTGTAAATTAATTTTAAATATTCAATGAGCAATAATCAGCACTCATTTCTACTGTCAGCTTTTTGGCGGAATCAGATATGAACTCAGATTGGCAACACTGGTCTCGCGGTGTTTAGTTACACCTTCGGATTTGGTATGTCAGTACCGCCAGCCATTGGGATACATCCCCAGATCTTGGGAATTCACAATCCCCCTACGGAACTAGGGAGTAATTTTGACAAAAATTTAACAACCCCCAAAAACAATGTTTTTCATATAAATTCTTTATAAAATGTTATTTTGAGCAATTGGGGAGTGGGTGGGGGCCTAAAAATTTGACACACTTAATAAGAATCCCAATTAGTGTCGGCCCCCCCCCCCACAAGGCTCAAAACCGCACATTTTTAATTCTTTCCACGCCCCTGATCATATTCTAATGACCCACACGCTTTTACACCGCAGATTTATTTCACCGCTTATTTCAGAAAAGCAAAAGAAAATATTACGCACGAAACGCACTTTATACTTTATATTTTATTCAGAAGCTCATTTAGCAGTTACCGGGAATTTTCCTTCATGCTCCCATTGAAAAACGGGAAAAACTGAGTTTCGGGGGTTTGGGGTGGGGCTGATTAGTAATCATTATTATACATATACGTTGTCAAAGAATATATTCCAATTTCAAAAAATTAAATGAAATACATTTTCATTTTTAAAAAATAAAATCATAAATTGCCCCCCCTCCCCTTTTTGGGGGGGGGAGGGGGGGAGGGGGGGGCAAAAAATCATTGCAGCAAGGGACGGTCTGGGGAATCGTGTGGACCAAACTGTCACCAAACCTGTGGAATTTTGGCAAATCTTAGTGGCAGCACTGATTGCTATTGTAATGAATAAATGTGTACCGGGTATTTAGAAAGTTATTTGACCTTTCATTACGATATTGTTTTTATAATCGTGTTACCAATGCGAAAATTAATAAGATATGTTCGCTCCCAATGGAAAGCAATATACGATAGACCAGCAACACGATTTACCGTGATCGTTTTAGGAACTGCATTAGGAGTTGGAACATACTTCTATCCTATTTTGAAAACTATAATGAAACCATACGATCATTTGCCAGAAGAACAGCAATCATTATATGTTACGGATAATTTGTACCCTGGTAAGTGCAGAAGAAAGTGAAAGCCTTTTATTATTTGGCTGGTTCATATTAGTATAGGTCTTCTGCCTTAATTTCATAATATTAAATATATATTTTAAAAATATACATGTCATTAGTATTAGTCATTAGTAATATCCATAGACTAAGATACTAAGAAATTAAATAGGCCTGCCTAGCACTAAGTCTAAGTTGGTAATCCCTTATTTTAGTGCGTTTTATTATTTATTTAAATTCAAAATACATTTATTTGATATAATTTAATTTCAATTTTCTTATAACATGCCAATTCTTCTTTGTTTTGAGGGCCTACAATCAATGAATTGATCATTCTGGCTCCTATGTTTCAATTATTAATATGGGGAGAGAGCGTTTTTTGTATAGTTTATTACTATCATAGACTATGACATAATTTTTCAATACCAGTTAGTAGAAAACCTATGTTACCATGTTCATTCATTGACATTTATGTGTACACTAGCACTGGTTGAACCAAAACTAGCCATTACTGGTGTTGTAATAACTCACACTAGTCATACTCAAAGTAGTATTCACACTAATTGAGTGACGTCTAGGACAGAAAAAGGTATAACTTGTAATGTAAGAATGTAAGTTGATGACAAACAATGAGATGATTTGACATTTGAGCCCATACCATGGCTGAGACGATTGCAGGCATTAAATATTCAGAATTCAGACATTATATTATTACTACCGTACCCGTAATTAAAGTAAGTTTAAAACTCAAGTCTAAAAAAACAACAAATTGACAAATTAACATTTTATATCCACATATTAGCGCGTGGGCATGGAGAAAAAAACATTCATCCACATGACCCCCCTCCACAGTGAAAAATAAGGATGTAAACTCGAAAACGATTTCACTTTTTAAAATTTAAATACATTAATCTATATTACTACAACTAGCATACATTAAACAAGGAGTCAGGAGTAATGTCTATTAACATCTAAATTGCTATAAAATTTATCATTAAAAAAAAATAATTCTATTGATAAGTGTAAAAAAAAAAATCCTCAAAATTTGGCAAACATTTGACTTTAAAATTAAACAAGCTATTTCCATTTAAATTTTGCGATCTATCTAGTTATGAATGAAGTAGTAAACATGAATGGGACAAAGAGGGCAGTCACAGTGGGGGCCAAAATCTTCTTAATAGGATCTTACTAGTGAATTTAAATATCAAATCCCATATACTTCAGAAAGACGAGGGGGGGGGGGGGCAAAAATCGTCTTTTATACTGATCCGCCCCGGGGGCACTTTTTATATACCGTATATAAAGTGGCACCATTTTCCGGTTTTACAAAGAGGGCAGTCACAGTGGGGGCCAAAATCTTCTTAATAGGATCTTACTAGTGAATTTAAATATCAAATCCCATATACTTCAGAAAGACGAGGGGGGGGGGGGCAAAAATCGTCTTTTATACTGATCCGCCCCGGGGGCACTTTTTATATACCGTATATGAAGTGGCACCATTTTCCGGTTTAGCCTCAGGTGCAACAAAAGAATGGTGAAAACCTAAATTTGGCATAAGCGCCCGGAATCTAAACATTTTAGGAACCACTGAACTAACACTGAAGATACAGTGGGCGAAATTACTGTACCGGTAATACTTCTACTACAGAGTAATATTGAAGCGATATCAAGCGAGTTCATTTGGGAAAAGAAATGGCAGCATTATGAAGATAATTTCTACACAACATTGCGTGATACTTTTACAGCATTGGAGATATAAATATGCTATTTTTGGACTGTCAGATGGAGCTGAAACTATTCAATGTGCTTGCATTTGCGGAGGAATAAAGTAAGACAAATGTAAATAAGACAAGCAAGTTGTCGCTGCCAAAAGTATGGACAAGCCGGACGATGAGAGGAAAGTACTGACAAATACGCACGTAAAAATTAGTACGGACAAGGGTGTTTAAAATCCAAACTGTCCGTACTAAATACGGACGTCTGGTAACCCTAGCCCATGACAGCCACATTAGAATTTCAAATTCTACAAATAAAGCATTGGTGTAGTTTAGATTATAAATTACAATAATACTTTGCCTGTAGTGCAATATAATCAAAAGGCAATTGCTATGCTAGTTCTAGGTTTCACACTTTCTGGCACTGGTAAAACGCATGAAAATAAAATGAAGTTTCGGGTTTGCTTTCTCTTCATAAATATTTATTATTATTTAGTCTTATTGAATGACTTGAACCAACAGTAGAGTCATGTTTGAACTTCAACATTGGGATAGCAGTTAATGAATCATGAAAGTGTATCATGTTGAAGATTCTAATAATTATTTGCTGAGTAAATTTCATTTCAAATATTAACATCAAGTACCATAATTATCTTTAAATTATTTTGTTTTATAATATTTACATACAAGATACAAATTCATAGTCATAGAGTATTTTGATAAATACCAGGCGTACATCATCATCAAATTGATTTAACAGCTTATGCACTGGCAAATTTTAAACAGTGTTTAAGTTTAAAAGTATGCTAAATATTTATAAATAATTTTGGGGCTATATCGTGAGCATATGAGTATGACTGAAAAAAGCCTACTGTGCTGGCCATGTTGAAGTTGTTTTCCTTTCTCGTAAAGTCATTAAATGGTATTTAAAAAATAAAAGAAACAGAAAATAGTACCGTATAATTAAATGTAGTAGCCGATGTGTATTTTATAGTCTTTAAAAATGATAAACAAAGAACATATTTACTTATCAATAAAATCATTGTATATGATTCATTTAAAATAGTTTTGTTTCCTTTGTACAAAGAGGTGCACAATTCTAAATTTTATTGAATGATCCAGATAAACTTCTGATTCATAACTAATTTACTATTTTCCTACATAAGAATACATACCTTTAAATTCAATCAAATATTATTTATTCTAATCTATTTTTTTTTTTTTAAATGCATTTTGTTTTTATAAATTATAAGCTCTGAACAAATGAATCTGATATTTCTTTTTTTTACATTGTTTTTTATTTTTATTTGATACATCAGTATCAGTATCTGTGTTTATTTTAGTCTTGCATATGATATTTTATCTGATATTTTATTTGATAACCGAAATAGAGTAAGGAGTTTTGGTCATACTAGCATACTTAGGAGAGTTTGCACATGGTTAACACAGAAATATACCCATTATGTGTTATCATTCATATACTGATTTAGTTGTGTCTCAAATTTTCCACTAATTATCTTTCTCTTTAAAAATTTAAAAGTTGGTATCAGTTACCTTGTGAAGCTCATTCAGCTTGTGGTTTATAACAACTTTTTTTTTTGGGCATCTAATTTTCTATTTTACAGTCAAAGTGCGCAAACAAAGAGAACAAGAGTAACACGAAAAATCAAGCTTAGACTCTGTCAGGATATCTTAGCATTTCAACATGTCGCCTTCAATCCTTTGACGCCATCAGTAGTTGTCATCAAGCTGTACAGTTGTTACAGTTGCTGGTACAGATTTTCAAGACTCTACTGTTGTGTTATCCCAAGAATTTATGTGAAGACTGTTAAAATTCTTGACTGAGTGTCTTGCTATGTAAAATGCAAATTAAAAATTGGAATAATTTGAAGAAAAAACAAAACTTTGCAAAGAAAATTTTTGGTGTTCATTGTTTCCTTATGCCAAGTCCATGGAAGAAATAGTGATGAATGCGATAGTATGAGGGTTATTACAAGACATTGTGTAATTCATTTGCAATTACAGAAGAATTATTAATTTCATATAAATAGACTAATTAGGGACTGTCAAAATTTAAGAATAATTTCCCGGTTTTGCAGAATTTGTAAATGAATTTCCAAAATTTTTACAAACACCCCCCCCCCCCCCTTTCCACACCACCCCTTTTCTTTCTGGTCATAGGCACCAATATGCAACATGTCCAAAATCAAAAACCCTCTCCCCCTAAGTTCGTATGTACATCATGGATGGCCGCTCTGTCCTCAAGTGAGATATTTTACAAGGCAATGCAAAGGAGGAGGAAGGGGGCTTCTACCCTGGTCGCTATTTTTGAAGGGGCTTTTTAAATCCACCTGGACCTCCTCCCCATGAACAGCCGACCAACTGGGGCTAACAAGTCAGTCTCCCCCCCCCCCAAGTTATTTATCTACCTGGGTCCCAGTATATCTTATGACTCCATTACAGCCCGTACACACCAAGAGAGTATTTTTGAAGGGGCTTTTTAAATCCCCCTGGACCCCCTCCCCATGAACAGCCGACCAACTGGGGCTAACAAGCCAGTCTCCCCCCCCCCCCAAGTTATTTATCTAACTGGGTACCAGTATATCTTATGACTCCATTACAGCCCGTACACACCAAGAGAGGAGCGAACATGCACACACACAGACAGTAACAACTCAATCCTTTATGGCTATGGGCCACACGTTGTGTTGTAAATGTTCATACTCTCTATATATTACATTCTTACCAAAAACTTTAAGATCATAATCCTTGCAAGTTGCACAGCATTATACAAATTATTAGGTTTTCACAGATAGATCAGCCATTTCAATCTGCTACTTTAAATAACTTAAAGGAATATTAGGAACAAATAAGGTCCACAAATACATACAGGATTGCGCAGACGAAAGCTGCACCCAGGGCAAAGCCTGAATTTAGGCGGCGTCCTCCCTGCCAAAGTATCTGTTGATACACATAATGTTTTGTTAACTAAATTGAACGCAGGTGTCCCTTTCGCACCATCCCCTATACAAACAAAGACAAAAGCTCATGAATTCAGACAGTATTTTTCCTTTTCAGAATGAAAAGATGTTAAACAATGAACTTTTAATTACAGTACCGTATAACAATGAATGATAACTAGTAATTTTAATGAGCCTCTTGATCTCATAGAAAATGAACTACGGTACTGTAATTCACTGTAATGAAATCTGGAACAAATCATACGCATGTTAAGTATAAATATGCATATAATTACTAGAAACATTAGTTAGACCAAAAATACAAGCCCTAATAGATCAACCCTAAAAAAAAAAAAAAGATCCTACTAAATTAAAACTAACTGAAACTTCAACAAAAAGGTTAACCGAAAAGAATTTAAACCGTATTATGCGATAATCCATCCTCTCCACCCAGAGGCGTAGCGAGGGGGGGGGCAAGGGGGGACAATGTCCCCGGGCGCCAGCTAGTTAGGGGCGCCAAAATGTGCTTTGATATTATGCTATCGATGAAAATAATGGGCTTGAGAGTTGAAAAAAAGAAAAAGGGTCGCTTTAAAATGAATCTTGTCCCCGGGCGCCAAACACCATCGCTACGCCTCTGTCTCCACCAATGTTCCCTCTAAGGTTTCTTGGTTCGTGTGCAACATCATAAAGTTGTGTGCACAATTGTACAGCCTACAAACACACACTTAAAGTGGAAAGTAGCTGCGTGGTACTCAAAACTGCTGCACGGTACTCAAAACTGCTGCGCGGTACTCAAAACTGCTGCACGGTACTCAAAACTGCTGCGCGGTACTCAAAACTGCTGCGTGGTACTCAAAACTGCTGCACGGTACTCAAAACTGCTGCGCGGCGTCTGTGAGATTGCTGCGCGGCCGCGCAGCTTAAAGGGAACATTGCCCTCCACCCCCTCCCAACTGCCCATCCCCTCCTGACACATGATGTAAATATATCCTGTGTAAATCAATACTTATAAACTTATATTTATGTTTATAAAAAGGGCATCAGAGACTCTGGACAGTATCTACGCTTAAAATTTCCACCTTTTCCTAACACTGTAAGCATGGGCGCCCGCAGAAAACTTTCTAGGGGGGGGGGGAGGCAAAAAATCGATTAACTTTCCAGGGGGGGGGCAACAAATTTTTAGTAATGTTTTAATATTGTTTTAATTTACTGTAGTGTATTTGTATGGTGAACGAACGGACAGGACATCAGCTTAGTTACTTTCTA